GCCCCTCCCCCCACTCACGTGTGTATGTGCTCTCTCTCTAAAAATAAATGCATCTTTCTTTTTTTTTTAAAGATTTTATTTATTTGACAGAGAGAGACACAGCGGAGAGAGGGAACACAAGCAGGAGGAGTGGGAGAGGGAGAAGCAGGCTTCCCGCGGAGCAGGGAGCCTCATGCGGGGCCCAATACCCTGGGATCATGACCTGAGCTGAAGGCAGACGCTTAATGACTAAGCCACCTAGGCACCCCAAAATAAATGCATCTTTAAAAAAAAAAAAAAAGCACAGGGACACCTGGGTGGCTCAGTCGTTAAGCGTCTGCCTTCAGCTCAGGTCATGATCCCGGAGTCCTGGGATCGAGCCCCGCATCAGGCTCCCTGCTCCGTGGGAAGCCTGCTTCTCCCTCTCCCACTCCCCGCTGCTTGTGTTCCCTCTCTCGCTGTGTCTCTCTCTGTCAAATAAATAAATAAAATCTCCAAAAAAATAAAAAAATAAAATAAAAAAATTTTTAAAAAAAGCACAGATGATGGTTAGCATTTTTAAACAATAAAGTATTTTTTAAAGTATTACATTGTTTTTAGACACCTAATAGATCATAGTATAGTGCAAACATAACTTTTAGATACACTGGGAAATCAAAAATTCATTTGTCTCATGTTACTGTAATACTTGCTTTACTGTGGTAGTCTTCAACCAAACCCACAGTATCTTCAAGGCATGCTTGTCTACCAGGTTTTGTACTACATGCTTTACTTATATTATCTCATTTAATCCTTATGACAAGCATAAACATTATTATTTACTTCAGTTCAGCAAGAATTTAGACAGGTTCAGTGGCATGTTCAAAGTCACACTCAGCAAGTTAAGTGTATGAACAAAGATTCTAACCAAAATAATCTGACTCCAGATTCCACTTAGACTTTTCATCTCATAGTTACTGATAGAGAAATAAATTCACAATATGTTGTAAAATAAAAAAATTGTTAAATGTAAAACTGTATCTTTTTTTAAAAAAGTATGCACACACGGGGCACCTGGGTGGCTCGAGTCGTGGTCCCAGGGTCCTGGGATCAAGTCCCGCATTGGGCTCCTTGCTCAGCTGGGAGTTTGCTTCTCCCTCTCCCACTGCCCCTCCCCCCATTGTTCTCTGCCTCTCAAACAAATAAAATCTTCTAAAAAAAAGTATGCATACACATATTTGTATAGAGGTAAAAAGTATGAAGGAGGGGCGCCTGAGTGGATCAGTCATTAAGCGTCTGCCTTCGGCTCAGGTCATGGTCCCAGGAGTCCCGCATCCGGCTCCCTCCTCAGCAGGAGGCCTTCTTCTCCCTCTCCCACTCCCCCTGCTTGTGTTCCCTCTCTCGCTGTGTCTCTCTGTCAAATAAAATCTTAAAAAAAAAAGTATGAAGGAATATATTCTAAAATATGATATCTGTGCAATGAGATTATGGAGGATTTTTATTTTCTTACCTGTATTCTTCTTTTTGGCATTTTTGGCAATGAGCATGTATTACTTTTAGGGTGAGAAAGAAGCAATAAGCTCTTTTAAAACTACAGGAATCAAAATTATTTTAAGATACATACTTTCTGCCTATTTCTTTGAAAAGCTTTATTTCAGTTACAGCTCTTCTCATTCAAAAAAGGATTTAAATTGCTAAAAGATAGTTTGATCTCTTCTCAATGAAAAAGTTCACCTTTTGTATCTTTCCTAACTTCAGTGGAAATTCAGGCATATTCATGGGGCTACTGTGTAGCTCAGTCGGGTAAGCGTTGGCCTTCAGCTCCGTTCATGATCCCAGGGTCCTGGGATCGAGTCCCACATCAGGCTCCCTGCTCCGCGGGAAGCCTGCTTCTCCCTCTAATCCTCTCCCCTCTCATGCTGTTTCTCACTCTCTATTTCTCTCTCTCAATTAAATAAATAAAACCTCAAAAAAAAATTAATTCAGACATATTCAATGGATTAAGCAACCAGGAATTACAAGTGTTTACCATCTTTCAAAGCATAAAATGCATAAGGGTCCTATATGAGCCCAGTTAAGCCTGCCTATAGTACACAAAATAACTTCACCATCTCTACCAACATCACATACCACTAACTCTCCATCCAGCTGATGATAAATTCTCCTAAAATTGAGTCTTCTTGATATAAACCTCTTGAAGTTCAATTTTAAAAGGTTTAAAGGTTTAAAAGGTTTTCAACAGGTCAAGTCAGACTTCTTTTTCTAACAACTGGTAGGACTCCTCCAGATGTAAGCTAGGATGCAACAAGAAGTTACTCAAGTAAGAGGATGGAAAGCTATCAGCAGAAGAGAGGAAGGAAAGGGACAAAAGCAGGGAAGGAATATGTTTTGTTTTGTAGAACCAACAGTTCCAGCCAAGGAGACATGATGTTTCACCTGGGAGCCCCTTGCTAGCTGTGTCTCCCCTGACAGCCCCTTATGTGAGCCAGTATGAGCTGGACTGGACCTGAGGAGCTGCAGAGAAGTCCCCCTGAGTTGTCCTGAAGTTACCTTTAGCTCATTATACTACCAAGATCTCCTAGAGATGGACCTCTCCACCATTTTTTTGAACTAGCACATTGACATTCTGGGCATGAGTAATTGAACGGAAGTGCTTACGTGAACTCCCTGCCCCACCCCCTAATACACTGAATAAAGGCTTCCCTATACTAACCCCACCAACAGAGAGTGCTTTGAGAGCCGTATGTCTCCTTACTTGTAACAAGTAATAAAGTTCTTTGTTTTCAGCACTTCCTTGGGTTTCGTTCAGTTTGATGCATCTCAAGTGGCAAACCCCTTCCTTGAGTTTGGTTACACAGATACTGTCATATTGGTAAATAACATTTTCATACATCCGGCTGATCAAACCAGAAACACTTCTTTCCATCATCCCTTATATCCAATCCCTCATTAAATTCTACTCTTTGCGGGCGTCTGGGTGGCTCAGTCGTTAAGCGTCTGCCTTCGGCTCAGGTCATGATCCCAGAGTCCTGGGATCGAGTCCCGCATCGGGCTCCCTGCTCCGCGGGAAGCCTGCTTCTCCCTCTCCCACTCCCTCTGCTTGTGTTCCTGCTCTCTCTCTCTCTCTCTGACAATAAATAAATAAATAAAATCTTTAAACAACAACAAAAAATTCTACTCTTTGTACAAAACAAAACAAACAAAAAAAGCTAACTCATTGCCTTCTTTCCATAACCATTGCTTCCGCTGTAGTGGCGCATTATCCCCCTCCTGGATTACTGCAATAACATCCTTAACTGAAAACACTTCTACTTTTGCCCTTCTACATTCTCCACAGAAGCCAGAGTGATCTACTGAAAATGTAAATCTGATCACAGATTTCTGTGCTTAAAAACATCCAATGGTTCCCAATACACTTAAAATGAAATCCGAAGTTCCTTATTAGGGGCACCTGTGGCTCAGTCGGATAGGTGGACCGTTAAGCGTCTGCCTTCGGCTCAGGTCATGATCCCAGGGTCTTGAGATGGAGCCCTGCGTTGGGATCAAGCCCTGCATTAGGGCTCCCTGCTCAGCGGGGAGTCTGCTTCTGCTTCTCCTTCTCCCTCTGCCCCCCCCCATAAATATATAAAACCTTAAAAAAAAAAAAAAAAAGGACCTTAATATAACCTCCTGTATGATCTGCCTAAGGCTTCTCCACAATCTCATTTCTGTCATCACACCCTTTAATCACTACATTCTAGCCAGACTGGCCTTATTTTTGTTCCTCCAAGAAGCTAAGCTCTTCCCTATCTCAGGACCTCCAGATATCCTTGCATATACCTGAGATACCTGTTCACTTCCATTCACTCTTCACCTGGCTAACTCTTATTCAATTTTTCTTCATATCACCATCAAGATTCCACATTTGTTTTGTCCACCTGGCAGGCACATTACTGGTGCCCAATAAATAATCACTCATTTTCGATTATCCAGCCAGTACTAACAAAAAAACAAAACAAAACAAAAAAACCAAGACAGTGGGGTTACACAAAGAAACGTAATTATATGCTGAAACTAAAGTATTAAAAATTATCTTAAAATCTGAATGTGTTCACAAACTGTTCATTTGCAAAACTGAGAACTCCAAAAAAAAAAAAAAAACTATCAAAATGTTGCCATAAAAAAAAAAAGATTTTTAGGGGCGTCTGGGTGGCTCAGTCGTTAAGCGTCTGCCTTCGGCTCAGGTCATGAACCTAGGGTCCTGGGATCGAGCCCCGCATCGGGCTCCCTGCTCAGCCGGAAGCCTGCTTCTCCCTCTCCCACTCCCCCTGCTTGTGTTTCCTCTCTCACTCTCTCTCTCTCTGTCAAATAAATAAATAAAATCTTAAAAAAAAAAAAAGATTTTTAAATGAACCAAGGATAAAACATTGTCACAAGTGATTACTCCTGAAAGAAGATAATTAAAAACCCTGGGAATGATGTTTTTCTGCCCTATTTTTTGCTCTATGAAAAAATGGGAAAGAGGCTAAATACAAAGAGTAACGCAAGCATTCAATAACTTAAAAATATGTTTATTAGTCTTTTCTGGCAAGGAAGGAAGGAAAGAAAGAAAATTCGTGGTATTCAAATTATTACAACATGTTTGAGTTAAATTCCATTTAAAAAGGAAAGAAAGTAGTGGGTATCGGGGTTGTTACAGTAAATCCCTGGAGAGGCGATAAGATGGAAAGAAAACATTACTTGCTCCCTTTACATCTAAGGCAAAGGCGTTTCCATCCTCACTCCGCACCCCGCACCCCAGAATGTCCGGCACTGAACAAAGCCTAATGGATTCTCTAGTAAAAATTCCACACTATCAACTCGATAAACCAGCGTCTCCATCATATCGATCCCTGCTACATCGTCCGCCTTTCACTCTCAGCGTAGCCGCTGATCTCTTCTCAACCCTAGGACTCGCTTTGGGTTGATCGCTTCCCTCCCAGGATCCCAAACGAGAAACCGCTTCTACGAAACGCAAACGGCAAACAGGAGGGGCGAAAAAAAGGACCGGACGCCAGACTCACCTGGGGCTGCACCGTACTCGACAGGGAAAACATCTCCGGGCCCTCAGCGACCTCACCCGCCTGCCGAAAGTGCCCCTCTGTCCACGGCTCGCCGGGGAGGTGCTGAGCCCTTCTTCCCTTTTCCTTTCCCCTCTCCCCGTAGCTCTCACTCTTCCTAGAAACAGAAAATGGCCTCCCCTTCTCACAGCTGCGGCTACAACAGACAATCTGCCCCGGAAGGCAAGGCTCCAAGGCAACGCTACTTCCGGGGCAGGTGGGCAAGGCAGGGGAATACGCCGGGGGCTCCCCCTTTCCCCGACTGACGTATCTACTGCAGCAGCTGAGGCACCCTGGCCCGCAAGCTAGTTGATGTTCACGTTGACTAATACAAGCGCGGGATCCCCAAGCTCTCTGGTCTTATTTTTTTTTAAGGGGGGACGGCATTGACCCTGTTAAATCTTTGTACACTAACTTATCAAATCTTCCAATACATTCCTCTTTTCCGACTGGGCCTTGAGGCACGATAAACTCTTTTGCTACTATTTGGTGCTCTTTATCTTCCCCACAGTAAATCGAAAATTCCTCCTGTTGGTCCTAATCCGCTTCAGTCAGGCAAATTACATCCTGTTTATATGTCAGATGGCAGGGCCAGCCACGGACTTCCTGCTCATCCAGCTTTTCCACATTCTCTGATTTCCACTAGCCAGACCGAAGTGGCTTACATTTCTCGCGAGGGTGCGAAGTCGCGAAGGAGTAAAAAACAGACAAAACAAAACAAAGCAAAAGTGAGAGGAGGGCAGGGTCCCACCAACCTCAGTTGGAGGTCAGGAGAAACCTCAATTCTGCGATTGAGATTCAAGTCCGAGCAGTAGCCCCTTTCTCTTGTAGGCCAAAGACTCTGTACCTCCTCCATTATTACAAATGAAATAATAGGGCCGCTGTCACCGCCCTCGAAGAGTCTGAGTTTGGTTGGAGAATTTCCCAACGTCCCCGCCCTCACCGCCATTGGGTACTTCCGCGCGGAGGAACAGGAGGTGCCCGGGCGGGACTGCGCTGGGCTCCGCGCGGCGAGCGCGGCAACGCGATGACGTCACTGACGACGGACTGCGTGGGCGGGGTCTTACTTTGAACCCGGTTGGCGGGAGTTGTGGCTCGGAAAGGGCCTTAGCTGATGCTGCCGGCTTCCGTCTGGGCTGGCGTACGATGGAGCCCACTGCGGGGAGCGAGAAGGAGAGTGAAGGAGACGCGATGACGGGGAAGTGCGTGAATAGGATCCTGGTGCCAAGACCTCCCTCCATTGAGGAGTTCACCATAGTGAAGCCCATTAGCCGTGGCGCCTTTGGGAAGGTGTATCTCGGGCAGAAAGGCAGCAGGTTGTATGCTGTGAAGGTAAGAAGTCGGGGAGTAAAGAAAGGGAAAGAGTCCGGACCTTCGGCCCTCTTTCCTGCCCCCGAATTGGGCAGGCCCCAGGGCCATAGGAGCCTTTATAGCCCTGTGATATGACTTCTTTCTTGGGGTGACAAGATCGCCGGCAGGCTGGGTTGTCTCGCCTCTGCCCCACCCTTCTTTTCACACCGCCAATGCCTAGGATACGCCAGGATTTCTGAATCCTTTTTACCACCTTGACCTTGACCGGGATTAAGTTGGAAACATTAAATTTGAAACAATTAGTTTTTTTAAGATTTTATTTATTTATTTATTTGACAGAGAGAGAGAGAGAGCGAGAGAGGGAACACAAGCAGGGGGAGTGCGAGAGGGAGAAGCAGGCTTCCTGCCGAGCAGGGAGCCCAATGCGGTGCTCGATCCCAGGACTGGAATCATGACCTGAGCTGAAGGCAGTCGCTTAACCAACTGAGCCTCTCAGGCGCCCCTGAAACAATTAAAGACTAAACTGAAACATGTTAGAACGTGTCACTCCTTTATCCTTGCAGCAGTATATAATAACATTACAAAAGCACTCAAGAGCTTTCAATGTATTTGAGGCTCTTCTGGCCACTCTTGGTCCTCACCCACTCCATAGTTTCAGGTTACTCTTATTTCAGCACTGAGTGAACATGATAAAGGAAAGAAGCCAGCAGTCTGAGCGCTGATGCAGTTTCAACTTTCTGTTCAACATTGCTATGTGAATATCTACCAGGTATCTTGGAATTGTACTTGCCTCACATTGCCTGCTTCAACACTGAATCTTCTGTATTCCCTCTCTCCGTTTAATAAAATCACTTTCATCACTGTCATTCAGCCTAGAAACTTGAATCATTTTAACTTTACTTCATCTATATAACCAATGTCTCAACTAGTCCTGTCAATTCTGTCTCATATTTCTTATTATCTCTTCCATTCCATTCCCAAGACTATCCAAATACAGGACTTCATTTTTTCTTTCTTTTGTTTTTTTCCTACTCACTCCCTCCCCTTTTCCCTCCCTCCCTTCCTTTTTAAAAGTACAAGTCAATTTTTGGTAAATTAAAGATTGGGTAACTATCAACACAATCCAATTTTAGAACCTATCCATCACCCTAAAAAGATCTCCTGCCTGTCTGCAGTACCTCCCTCTAACACCCCTAGCCCCAGGATACCAGCAATCTACTTTCTATCTCTATAGGTTTGCCTTTTCTCTACATCGCATGTAGATGGAATCATGCAGTATATAGTCTTTTGCATTTGGGTTTTTTGTTTTTTGTTTTTACTGGACAGCATTTTTGAGATTCATCAAACCTTCATTTACATACCTAGTCTATTGGAATAGGCCTCTAAATAGAATCCCTAATTTTTTCATCCCCTCCTTAGGCTGTGGCTTGCAAGCTAAAGTCCAAACTCCTTAGAAAAGCAATCATAGGGTGCCAAAGTGGCTCAGTCGGTTAAGCGTCTGCCTTCGGCTCAGGTCTTGATCCCGGGAATCCCACATCGCTTGGCTCCTCTTCAAACCTTACCTGACCTTTCAGACCCACTCCATTGAAATTAATTCTTCCTTGATTCATATGTTCCACCAATTTTTTGCTTTTCCTTCTACAATACTTCCTAATCAGTCATTATCAGTTGTTGAAATAAAAACACCAATTCATTTTTTCGATGAATATTTGTTGAGTATGCCCTTTGTGTTTAGGATCTAGGGTGCAGTGGTGAACAAAATAAACATGCCTTCACAGAACTTCCAATCTAGTGAAATGATAGGTGAAATCATGTTACAGACTGACTTTTGACAATTTCCCTCAATTTTCTTATGGAAGGATATAAGGCTGGAATTTATAGTGTATTAATTATACACATTAATATTGATTTTATTACTCTAATGAGTCTCTGGAACCAATATGTCTTTTAATCATCCTGACAATTGATCTCAATGTTACTGACTTCAGTTTAGTGCCCCAATTTTAATATAGATTATATTAGTTTTGCTTCTGTACCAATTACCTTGAAATTTGAAAAGAGTAATTTGTTATTTTCTGTAAGACAGCATTTGAGACTGTTAACTTTCAGTAGTTTTAACTATTAAGATTTTTTTCTAGGCAAACAAACTTCCTATATTCTTCCTCTTTCTGACTCAGTTCCCATCCATCAAAGAATCAGAAGTTAAAGAAAATTTATTAGCTGCTAATTATCTGTGCCTAGGTTCCTGATTATCTGGGGGCTTATTAGGAACATTACCACCTTTGAATTTGTTATAAGAATAGTAGAATGGAATTTTTTTTCTACTAATATGTAGAGCACTAGGGAAGCATTTGTTTACTTCTTTTTTCCTTCTCAAAAGGGATGTGATACTTTTGCCACTTGATGCTAAAATAAGTAGTTCTCTTAAAGAAAGTTTAGTTTTGTTTTACCATATTAGCTGTTTTTCTGACAGTTTCCTGAGGGCAATGACAATGACATCTATGTTTTCTCTCTCTGGTTGTTTTCACAAAGGCAACTCTGAAACCTGAAAACACTTTTGTAATAAAAAATAAAATGAATGTACTGTTATGTTGTCTACCATAGGTTGTCAAAAAAGCAGATATGATCAACAAAAATATGACTCATCAGGTACAAGCTGAGAGGGATGCACTAGCACTGAGCAAAAGTCCTTTCATTGTCCATTTGTATTATTCACTACAGTCAGCAAACAATGTCTACTTGGTAAGTAAATAATTTTACATTTTTTTCTTTACACATTAGCAATCACTGAATTCATTGACTTAAGAATACAATTGGGGAGGGTGGCACTTGGCTGGCTCAGCCAGTAGAGCATGCAATTGTTTGATCTCAGGGTTGTGAATTCAAGCCCCACATTGGGTGTAGAGATTACTTAAAAATAAATCTTTAAGGGGTGCCTGGGTGGCTCAGTTGGTTGAGCGTCTGCCTTTGGCTCAGGTCATGATCCCGGGGTCCTGCGATTGAGTCCCACATTGGGCTCTCTGATCACTGGAGAGCCTGCTTCTCCCTCTCCCTCTGCCTGCCACTCCCCCTGCTTGTGCTCTCTCTCTCCCTTTATTTCTCTGTCAAATAAATAAATAAAATCTTTTTTAAAAAGTAAATAAAAATTTAAAAATATATATAATTAAAAAAAAAGAATATAGTCTCTGGGTTTAGAGTACTTAGGTTTGAATTACAACTTTTGCACTTACTATCTTTATGACTTTGGCCAAGTTCCCGTACCTGTTGTATGGGCCAGGGTTCTCTGGAGAAAAAGAACTAATAGAGTGTGTGTGTGTGTGTGTGTGTGTGTAGGGTGGGGATTTAAGGACTTGCTCTATGTGATTGTCAGGATTGGCAAGTCTGAAATCTTGCAGGGTAAGCCAGCAGCCTGTAGACCCAGGGAAGAGTTGATGTTGTAACTCAGGTCCAAAAGCAGTGTAGAAGCAGAATTCCTTCTTCTTGGGGTGGGGTGGAGGTGGGGGCATGGAGGACAACACCTTGATCTTTTTTCTTTTAATGCCTTCAACTGACTGGATGGGGTCCACCCAGATTATGGAGGGTCATCAGCTTTTACTCAAAGTCTACCTAAATGTTAATCTCATCTAAAACACAACTTCAGGGGCGCCTGGGTGGCTTAGTTGTTAAGCGTCTGCCTTCAGTTCAGGTCATGATCCCAGGGTCCTGGGTTTGAGCCCCACATCAGGCTACCTGCTCAGCGGGAGGCCTGCTTCTCCCTCTCCCACTCCCCTGCTTGTGTTCCCTCTCTCGCTGTGTCTCTCTCTGTCAAATAAATAAAATCTTTAAAAAAAATAAAACACAACTTCACAGCAACATTTAGGTTCATGTTTCACCAAATCTCTGAGTACTATGGATTAGCCAAATTGATACATAAAAACTAACTATCCCATAATAGTACCTACCTCAGAGGTTGTTATGAAATTTTAATAGGTTAATATAAAGCATGTAGAACAGTATCTGGCACATAGTGCTAAAAATATTGGTAAGTAAAGGACATATACTAGGAATACTATATAAAGTTTGGTATATAGTAAGGAAAGTATTGGGAAGTGGTGGGTTTTGAGCATGTGCACTTTGAGAGTTGCTTGCTTTTCTTTTTTTTTTTTTTTAAGATTGACTTATTTATTTATTTAACAGAGAGAGAGAGAGAGAGACAGCGAGAGAGGGAACAAAAGCAGGGGGAGTGGGAGAGGGAGAAGCAGGCTCCCCGCAGAGCAGGGAGCCCGATGCAGGGCTCCATCCCAGGACCCTGGGACCATGACCTGAGCCGAAGGCAGACACTTAACGACTGAGCCACCCAGACGCCCCTTGCTTTTCATTTCTAATGAAGAATCTGAGGGAGCGGGAATTGGTGAAGATATTTTGACTACAAATTCTGGAGATCTGACTCCTGAGATGGTCTCTGGATTAAATGTTTGGTGTCTCCAACAGCTTCTGTTCAGTATGCACAAACGGTTTTCTATGAATGGATGGGTCTTAGGATGTAGATTTTAGACCCCAAATATGTAGTTTACCAACAGAACACTCATTCCTTTTATAATTTGATTTGCCTTCTGGGAGTGGAATCCCTTTATCCTCGATATGGTAAAGGTCTCTTGTAAGTCTGTGGAACATAATTGTGCGACACTTCAACTTTTTGCTATATCAAAAGCTTGAAACTGAACAGAACCTGATATCCAGCTTCAGACTGTACACCTGAAAACTCAGGATAGACTATAAAAATAGAGTCAACCCTAAAACTCTTTTGGTACCTGATGGTTAAATCCATTTCTAGTCTTTCAGTAAATCTGTGAGTATATTTAAACTGACATTAAATGTGGTTTCAAAGACTTAATGGGAAGACCAGAAAACTTTGGAGAATAAGAAGTTTTTCTAGGACAGTGGTGAGCACCCTATTTAGCACCTTTTTGCATTAGGACTAATTCAGGATCAATAAAATGTTTTACACAGTTTAAGTACATGAAATGTGATCATATTATACTTACTATTCTACATATTTTTTTCCACTTCCTGGTGACCTCATCCTTTCTAATAGCTACACAGAATTACATGGATTTATTTAGGAATTCTGTAATTTTTATAACAAATGTCCTATTAATGAGTTGGTTTGGGTTCTTTTACAATTCTAAACAACACTCCAACAAATACCTTAGCATGAATTGCAGTACCTGGTTGTAATGACCTTCTCTGTAAGAGACAAGACCTGGTAATGCTGTGGGGAAGGGTTTTGAAGCAAAGATACAAATTTATATTGAGGGAATTCACCCTCAGAGTCCTTCAGGAGACCCCCTAGGTTCTAAGAAAGGCAGATATGTGGGTCTACTTTATAGGATGGTTCACTGTCTGAGAGAGTTGAAAAAGGGCGCCTGGGTGGCTCAGTTGGTTAAGCGACTGCCTTCGGCTCAGGTCATGATCCTGGAGTCCCAGGATCGAGTCCCGCATCGGGCTCCCTGCTCGGCAGGGAGTCTGCTTCTCCCTCTGACCCTCCCCCCTCTCATGTGCTCTCTCTCTCATTCTCTCTCTCTCAAATAAAAAAAAAAAAAATCTTTAAAAAAAATACAGAGTAGCAGTAAGAAGGTGAAAACTAAATACTGTAAGAATAATTGACTTTCCGGGCGCCTGGGTGGCTCAGTTGGTTAAGCGACTGCCTTCAGCTCAGGTCATGATCCCAAGGTCCTGGGATCGAGTCCCACATCGGGCTCCCTGCTCGGCGGGAAGCCTGCTTCTCCCTCTCCCACTCCCCCTGCTTGTGTTCCCTCTCTCGCTGTGTCTCTCTCTGTCAAATAAATAAATAAAATCTTTAAAAAAAAAAAAAGAATAATTGACTTTCCATCTTTTAAGCCTGTGGTGAGCCAAACCTGGCCCACTGTTTCTGTACAGTCTGTGAGCTGAGAATAGTTTTGACATTTTTAAAATGTTGAAAAAAATCGAAGGAAGAATAATATTTTGTGATACATGAAAACTATATGAAATTTGAATTACCATGACTAAATACATTTTATTGGAACATAACCGCATCCTTTTGTTTACTTATTATCTATGGCTGCTCTTGTGCCACATCAGAAGAGTGAGGTAGTTGCCACACAGACTATATGGCTTGCAAAGCCTAAAATATTTACTATCTGGCTCTTTACAGAAAAAGAAGGAAACATTGACGTATTCCATTCGCAAAAAAGGTAGAGAACTATTTAATCACACAGGGTATATGGAACAGTATGGAGTAAAGGCATTAGAGAGCACCAGGAAGAATTAAAAGATTAAAAAGATTAAAAACAATATCCTATTAGTTTCAGGTGTAAATCATAGGATTTTATAGATTATGAAATGATCCCCACAGTAAGTCTAGTTGCCATCTGTCACCAAAGTTATTGCAGTGTCATTGACTATATTTCCTGTGCTGTACTTTTCATCCCTGTGACTTATGTATTTTATAACATTTTTTTTTAGAAGGGGGAGAGTAGAGGGAGAGAAAGAATCTTAAACAGGCTCCATGCCCAGCACAGAGCCCAATGCGGGACTCGATCTCACGACCCTGAGATCATGACCAGAGCTGAAATCGAGTTGGCCACTTAACCAACTGAGCCACCCAGGCTCCATAACATTTTTAGAGAAGGAGAAAAATATATCATAAGTACATGCTGAAATTTCCAATTCAATGGGAAATTATAGAATTTTTACTCCTCATCTTTGAAAATATATAACCTATAAAAATATTTTGAAAAAAATGTATTCTTTTACCCTGACCATCTGGGTTCTTAACAACATTAACATAATTACTGGTTTGCTTTAACTTATAACATTATGTATATCTAATACTTTCAAAATAACAATATCAATATTGTTTTCTTTTAATTTTAATTCAGTTAATTAACATATAATGTATTATTGGTTTCAGAGGTACAGGTCTGTGATTCATCAGTGTTATATAATACCCAGTGCTCATTACATCACATGCCCTCCTTAATGTCCATCACCCTGTTCCCCCATACCTCCACCCCCCCACCCCCTCACCTGCAACCCTCAGTTTGTTTCCTGAGATTAAGAGTCTCATGGTTTGTCTCCCTCTCTGGCTTCATCTTGTTTTATTTTTTCCTCTCTTCCCCTGTGATCCTCTGCCTTGTTTCTTAAATTCCATGTATCATTGAGATCGTATGATAATTGTCTTTCTCTGATTGACTAATTTTTGCTTAGCATAATACCCTCTAGTTCCATCCATGTTGTTGCAAATGACAAGATTTCAAGTTTTGATGGCTGCATAATATTCCATTGTGTGTGTGTGTGTGTGTGTGTACACACACATTTTCTTTATCCATCTGTCGGTGAACATCTGAGCTCTTTCCATATTTTGGCTATTGTGGACATTGCTACTATAAATATTGGGGTGCAGGTGCCCCTTCAGATCACTACATTTGTATCTTTGGGGTAAATGCCCAGTAGTGCAGTTGCTGGGTTGTAGGGTAGCTCTATTTTCAACTTTTTGAGGAACCTCCATACTGTTCTCCAGAGTGGCTGCACCAGCTTGCATTCCCACCAACAGTGTAGGAGGGTTCCCCTTTCTCTGCATCCTCACCAACATCTATCGTTTCCTGAGTTGTTATTTTTAGCCATTCTGACCAGTGTGAGGCGGTATCTCACTGTGGTTTTGATTTGTATTTCCCTGATGCCAAGGGACATGGAGCATTTTTTCATGTGTCTGTTGCCATTTGGATGTCTTTGGAGAAAAGTCTGTTTATGTCTTCTGCCCATTTCTTGATTGGATTATTTATTCTTTGGGTGTTGAGTTTGGTAAGTTCTTTATAGATTTTGGATACTAGCCCTTTATCTCATATGTCAGTTGCAAATATCTTCTTCCATTCTGTCAGTTGTCTTTTGGTTTTGTTGACTGTTTCCTCTGCTGTGCAAAAATTTTTTATCTTGATGAAGTCCCAATAGTTCATTTTTACCCTTGCTTCCCTTGCCTTTGGAGACATGTCTAGCAAGAAGTTGCTGTGGCTGAGGTCGAAGAGGTTGCTACCTGTATTCTCCGCTAGGATTTTGATGGATTCCTGTTTCACATTTACGTCTTTCATCCATTTTGAATCTATTTTTGTGTATGGTGTAAGGAAATGGTCCAGTTTCATTCTTCTGCATGTGGCTGTCCAATTTTCCCAACACCATTTGTTGAAGAGACTGTCTTTTTTCCATTGGCTATTCTTTCCTGCTTTGTCGAAGATTAGTTGACCATAGAGTTGAGGGTCCATTTCTGGGTTCTCTGTTCTGTTTCATTGGCCAATGTGTCTGTTTTTGTGCCAGTACCATACTGTCTTGATGATTAAGAGCTTTGTCATAGAGCTTAAAGTCCAGAATTGTGAACCACCAGCTTTGGTTTTCTTTTTCAACATTCCTTTGGCTATTTGGGGTCTCTTCTGGTTCCATACAAATTTTAGGATTTTTGTTTGTTTCTTTGAAAAAAGTTGATGGTATTTTGATAGGGATTACATTGAATGTATAGATTGCTCTAGGTAGCATAGACAGTTTAACAATATTTGTTCTTCCAATCCATGAGCATAGAATGTTTTTCCCTTTCTCTGTGTCTTCCTCAGTTTCTCTCATGAGTGTTCTATACTTTTCAGTGTACAGATCCTTTGCCTCCTTCATTAGGTTTATTCCTAGATATCTTATGGTTTTCGGTGCCATTCTAAATGGGTTCAACTCCTTAATTTCTCTTTCTTTCTCATTGTTGGTGTATAGAAATGCAACTCATTTCTGTGCATTGATTTTATATCCTGCTACTTTGCTGAATTCCTGTATGAGTTCTAGCAATTTTGGGGTGGAGTCTTTTGGGTTTTTCACATAGAGTATCATGTCATCTCTGAAGAATGAGAGTTTGACTTCTTCTTTGCCAATTCTGATGCCTTTTATTTCTTTTCGTTGTCTGATTGCTGAGGCTAGGACTTCTAGTACTATGTTGAACAGCAGTGGTGAGAGTGGACATCCCTGCCATGTTCCTGACCTTAGGGGAAAGCTCTCAGTTTCTCCCCACTGAGAATGATACTCACTGTGGGCTTTTCGTAGATGGCTTTTATGGTATTGAGGTATGTTCCCTCTATCCCTGCACCATGAAGAGTTCTGATCAAGAAAGGATGCTGTACTTTGTCAAATGCTTTTTCTGCATCTATTGAGAGGATCATATGGTTCTTGTCCTTTCTTTTATTAATGTAGTGTATTATATTGATTGATTTGCGGATGTTGAACCACGTTTGCAGCCCAGGAATGAATCCCACTTGGTTGTGGTGAATAATCCTTTTAATGTACTGTTGGATCCTATTGACTAGTATTTTGGTGAGAATTTTTGCATCCATGTTCATCAGGGCGATCGGTCTGTAATTTTCCTTTTTGGTGGGTTCTTTGTCTGGTTTTGGGATCAAGGTAATGCTGGCCTCATAGAAAGAGTTTGGAAGTTTTCCTTCAGAAGAATAGGTATTAATTTTTCTTTAAGTGTTTGGTAGAATTCCCCTGGGAAGCCATCCGGCCCTAGGCTCTTGTTTGTTGGGTCAATATTGTTATACTAACACTAAAACAATTCAATTTAGGATTTTTTTTTTTTTTTTTTTGCAGTTCTTTTTATCCTTGGGATATACTATCAAAATTCTTTTTTTGTTTTTTGAAGTCACTTGAAATCATTTTTTGCTTGATTATGAAGCTTAAGATAGTGCTATGGTCATTTGTTTCCCTTTTGTATCGTAGATTTCTACTTAAAAAAGGGAATCCATAAAAGTACTAGAAGAAGGGGCAATGGGTGGCTCAGTTGGTTAAGTGTCTGCCTTCAACTCAGGTCATGATCCCACGGTCCTGGGATTGAGCCCCATCGGGCTCCTTGCTCAGTGGAGAGTCTGCTTCTCCCTCTCCCTTTGCCCCTTGCCCGGCTCATACTCTCTCGCATGTGCTCTCTCTCTTAAATAAATAAAATAAAATCTTTCAAAAAAAAAAAGTACTGGAAGAAAACTCATGGGAATATTTTTTAATCGTAAATTGGTGTAGGTATTTTAAGTACAAAATAAAACATATATAGACACAAAATACCATTTACCTAATCAAATAGCAAGTTTGGAGAAAATATTTTTCATAAAATACACAAAAGGCTAATTTTACTCCTATATAAACAGATTTTATACATCAATAAGAAAGAATTAAATACCCCAGTAGAAAAATGGGCAAAGAATAGAAGTGATTCACAGAAGACACATAAAAGACCAAAAATAGGGACACCTGGCTGGCTCAGTCAGTGGAGCATGTGATTCTTGATCTTAGGGTTGGGGTTCAAGCCCCATGTTGGGTAGAGATTACTTAAAAATAAAATCTTTAAAAAAAAAAAAGTAGTGTAAAATGGGGCGCCTGGGTTGCTCAGTCAGTTAAGCATCTGCCTTCGGCTCAGGTCATGATCCCAGAGTCCTGGAATCAAGCCCCGCATCAGGCTCCCTGCTCAGCGGGAAGCCTGCTTCTCCCCCTCCCACTCCCCCTGCTTGTGTTCCCTCTCTCGCTGTCTCTCTCTCTCTGTCAAATAAATAAAATCTTTAAAAAATAATAAAATAAAAGAAAAAAATTTTAAAAAAAATAGTGTAAAGATCCTAAATCTTAAATAAACATTTAAGCAAGTCCATTTTTTCTTAGATTGACAAAAATAAAAAGGATCAATAATTATTGTTGATGAGGATGTAAGCAAATAAACATTATCATGAGCTCAAATAAAGTATCTGTTTACTTATTTATTTACCTACTACTAAATTATAAACTCTTTCAGTGCAGAGACAGCTTATTCATGCTTATATTCTCAGTTCTAGCACAGTGTGTAGCACAGATTTTGGGCTTAGTAAATGTGTTAATGATTGATCTCCTCAACAAACATTGACTAACCTGTATATACCAGGGAAACTCCCGACCTAAAGAGGAAAGAAAGGACTTTGTTTTATGAAGTTCTCACTAGGCAGTATTTTATACCTTAAAACTATACAAATTTTTGAGAATAATGACTAGTGCATGTAGAAGGAGGAATAATAGAGCTTTGCAACCACATAGCAATATTGAATTCAGACAAAAATCATCTGTGGTCACATGATGCTAAGATCAGTGCTTGCAGATTTGTTGGGAAACAGGTTTTTTACATACTCTCAATGTATTTCCCCCATTACTAATTAATTATCAAGGGGGTTAAAAAAAGTACTTCTTCATTGGAGAAATCTGGAAGTCCCACCTTAACAAGTGATCAAAGTCAACATCCCCAGTAATGGAACATGCTGACATTAGGTGTCTCATCTGGTGGGAGTGTCTCTAAGAAAGAGTCAACATTACTTATTTACAATTACTGCCAAAAATGCAAACCTGAATTGAATAATGAGGAGATAATCAAATGTCAAGAAAGACTAAAAGGCGAAAATCTGTCCCAGATTAAAGGAGACTAAAGAGACATGATAACTAAATACCATGGGGGTCCTGGCTTGGGCAGGGGAGTGAGAAGTCTTATCAAGGACATTTATTTAGATACTCAGAGAAATTTGAATATGGACAATATCAATTAGATAATAGTATTATATTAGTGTTAAATTCCTGGAATTTTATTATGCTGTAGTTATGTAAGAATATCCTTGTTAGGAGATACATGAAAAAGAATTTTGTGGTGACACGTCATGACCTCTTCAACTTTATTCTCCAGTTATTTAGCAAAAACTTTAAAGCTATAAATAGCAGTTGTTAATGTCACATTTTTTAAACTGTTTAGTCTGAATAAAAATCATGCGTTTAAGATATTTATGTTAATAATTGTGTTCCTTTTTTAATTATGTAACAATTATGTTATTAACAAACATTTATTTCATATTCATATGTGTGGAGAAGAAGAAAGCAAATGGGCAAAATGCTCACAGGGGGTGAATCTAGATGAAGAGTATATGGAACTGTTCTTATACCTTTCTGTAAGTCTGAATTTTTATTCAGATTAAACAGTTTAAATTCAATTTAAAAAAACTAAATGGCAACATGAGCAAACTTGGTATTAATGTGTACTGAATGAGAGCAAGAAAATGTGTCTGTTAAAGAACAATGCTAAAAATATATAACTAATACCAAATGTTTTTAAAGTAATGATATTATTTTTATTTTGTAACATTTATATTCCTTTTCGATAGGTAATGGAATATCTTATTGGTGGAGATGTCAAGTCTCTCCTACATATATATGGTTATTTTGATGAAGAGATGGCTGTGAAATATATTTCTGAAGTAGCCTTGGCTCTAGACTATCTTCACAGACACGGAATCATCCACAGGTAAAGACTGACTTTTCTACAAACTATTACTAAAAAGCACAAATAATCAAATTATGGATTAAATATTTGAGTTTGAAATATTTGCATAATCATTTGCCCATGTATCTGGATTATCTAAAGTTTGGTAGTAACTTGTGTGAGTTTAGAAATTCCATCAACTCGGGGCACCTGGGTGACTCAGTTGGTTAAGTGTCTGCCTTCAGCTCAGGTCATGATCCCAGGGTCCTGGGATCGAGCCCCACATCGGGCTCCCTGCTCAGCAGGAGGCCCGCTTCTCCCTCTCCCACTCCCCCCTGCTTGTGTTCCTGCTCTCGCTGTTTCTCTCTCTGTCAAATAAATAAAATCTTAAAAATAAATAAATAAAAGCACTAAGTTTAAAAAAAAAGTATAAATTCCATCAACTCTTCTTTTGTCTCCCCTCCCTGTGCTTTGAATATGTTGCGTTTAGCATGGGTACACCATTTGTTGTGAAGAATATTGAATCTTTTTTCCACTCCCTACCGTCATATAAAAGTGCTCTACTTTATAATGCCAACTGACTTGCAGTGCGCAAAGAAAGTCATGTTCTAAGTGGCTCTTCTCAGTTAAGGCTTAATCTTACCCTCCATGAAAGAGGTAAATATAATTTTGGTGTGGCCTGAGGTTTATTTTATCAAATGAGGTTTATTTGTTGTAATGAACTATCTATGAATAATGCCAAAGATAATCTAGTATTAAATCAGTTAACTTTCTTGTAGGTTCAAATACACAGAAGATTATTTACTTTTGAGAGTTGTTTTTCGCACTTTCAAAGCCAACAATACGTGCCTTATTTTAGAGAAATTAGGGTTTGATTCTTCTGTAACTTTCTGGGTTTTTCTCTGCTAATTCTAACATTAACACTAGCTCTTTTTTAATTGTCTGCTATTTGTCTTCTGTATGTGCAGGGATTTGAAACCAGACAATATGCTTATTTCTAATGAAGGTCATATTAAACTAACAGATTTTGGCCTTTCCAAAGTTACTTTGAATAGAGGTAAGAAAAATAGCAGGTAAGTACCTTTTTAAAAACCCAATAACTAAGAAAATAAATATCCAACAACTACATACTATTAACTTACACTATTTTGTTAGTTTATAATGCTAAAATTTGATGATTATTTGTTCCAAAAAAGACTGGAAAGGTATAATGATATTTCCTTTCAATTGAAGATGAAAAATGGAAGAAAAAAAAAGATGAGAAATGGAAATCATTCCTAAATCATCAAGGGTGCTCAAAGATCTTTGGATCTTCAAAGAGGAACTCACAATTTCTGTTCTTCTGACTTTTTGTCTCTACTGAAACTGGTTTGACCAATTAAACATCAGTAAAACGACTAAAATAACTATAACATGATAAACAGTAATACCTACAGAACTTATTCACACTGATAGGACCACCACCAAGACCTTGATAAACAAGGGGCAAAGAAATTGATCACAATCCACACACACATACACACACACATATATATGGGAGTATGTTAATTTCGCTACTGGTAATGAAAGAAATGCTAATTTAAAAAATAATGAGTGAATCATTTCACACTGTTAAGCTAGGCAAAAAAAAAGAACTGAAGATCTAAAATTAATGAGACTGCAAAAGCACAGTTAGTTTTTTCAGAAACATTGTAAATTAGAACGGTACTTTCCAACGGATATCTACCAATGTGTTTTAAGAAACAAAAGAGTTTAATTCTTTTTGACCTAATTAGTCTATCTTGGAATTTATTCTAAGGAAATCGTTCAAGAGAACAAAATATATGAATAAAACTTTGTAGCAGCATTGTTTCTAATAGGGAGAAACTAGAAATTACTTAAGTTTATCATAGAAACATGGATACTTGAGAGCTTATCAACTTGGTAGCATATTGTATTCTCTATTAAAATGGTAGCAGAGGGCGCCTGGGTGGCTCAGTTGGTTAAACGACTGCCTTCGGCTCAGGTCATGATCCTGGAGTCCCGGGATCGAGTCCCGCATCGGGCTCCCTGCTCGGCAGGGAGTCTGCTTCTCCCTCTGACCCTCCCCCCTCTCATGTGCTCTCTCTCTCTCATTCTCTCTGTCTCAAATAAATAAATAAAATCTTTAAAAAAAAAAAAATGGTAGCAGATAGAAATAAAAACAGGATAGCAAAAACCTGGGCTTATAACTTATAAACCACGGGATTATAATTATTTGAAAATAAATATAGATTTATAATTCTTTATCTGCAAGTACAAAAATTCTTTATCTGCAAGGACAAAAAACTTTTGAATACCTGAAGATTTTCATTTAGTTTGATAAAAATCTGACCTGAGCTGATATGGGCTATGTATGGTTTTTATTACTCCCATTTCATGTAACTACTCAGATTCTTCACAGCAGTAATAATAATATTTGAGTACACGTGGCTAGATCAGATGCCACTAGGGATGTTCCTTACTGTACAGTATACTGGATATTTACCCAAGGAAAACAAAAATACTAATTTGAAAAGATAACGTGCATCCTTATGTTTATTGCAACAGCATTTCCAATAGTCCAAATAGGGAAGCAATCCAAGTGTCCATCAATAGATGAATGGATAAAGAAGATGTGGCGTACACACACACACACACACACACACACACTCTAGAATATTACTCAGCCATAAAAAAGAATGCGGTCTTGCCATTTGTGACAACATGGACAGACCTGGAGGGTATTATGCTAAATGAAATAAGTCATACAGAAAGACAAGTACCATATGATTTCACTTAATATCATGGAATCTAAAACAAAACAGACAAAAAAAAGTGGAGACAGAGAACAAACTGATGATTGTGGGGGAGAACAGGCAAAAGGGCAAAATGTGTGAAAGGGAGGGGGAGACACAGGCTTCCCGTATGGAATGAATAAGTCATAGGGATGAAAAGTACAGGATAGCAAATATAGACAATAATATTGTAAAAGCATTGTATGGTGACAGACGGTAGCTACACTTGTGGTGAGCATAGTATAACGTATAGAGTTGTTGAATCACTAGGTTGTGCAACTGAAACTAAGGTAAAATTGTGTGTCATACCTCAATAAAAAAACAACAACAAAATAAAAAAACACTATATATTTATCACATTACCTTTCTAAAATCTAAACATCTTTTAATTGTGAGGCAAATCTAACTCCCTGGGTTTCAGATAAGATACTGGAAAAAGTCATAAATCAGATAAATTTTGTGTTATGGTGATAAAACAGTTTAATATTTTTTATTTTATTTTTTTCCTATCTGATGATTTATTTAAAATTTGGCTCCCATGGTGAACCTGCCTGGCTCAGTTGGTAGAGCATGCAACTCTTGATATGGCAGTCATGAGTTCCATCCCCACATTGAGTAGATGGCTTACATAAAAGATAAAAATAATAAAAATAAATAAAATAAAATACAATTTGCCTCCCAAATAATTCTACATTTGTATTAGTATAAATAGTAATATGACAAACATCTTTTAAGTATACAGATTCTGAATTTGGTTTTTCTCTTTTTTAATAGTAGTAAAAAATTCATAATAAAAAATTTGCCATTTTTAGAAAGTGAATTTTTTTTTTTAAGTTCAGTAGTATTAACTATATTCACATTGTTGTGCAACAGATCTCTAGAACTATTTCATCTTGCAAAACTGAAACACTATACCCTGATCTCCCCTTCCCCCCACCCCGGCAACCACAATTCTATTTTCTGTATCTGTGAGTTTGATTACTTTAGGCACCTCATATGAGTAGAATCATAGAGTATTTGTTGTTTTGTGACTGACTTATATCACTTAGCATAATGTCCTCAAGGTTCATCCATATCGCAGCATGTAACAGGATTTCCTTCTTTTTAAAGGCTTAATAACATTCCATTATACGGATATATGCCACTTTTTTTATCCATTCATGTGTCAGTAGACATTTGGGTTGCTTCTACCTCCTGGCTATTGTGAATTTATGCTGTGAACATGAATGTATAAATATCTCTTAAAGACATTGCTGTCAATTCTTTCCTGTACATACCCAGTTGTGGAATTCCTGGGTCATATAGGAATTCTACTTTTAATTTTTTGAGGAGCTTCCATTGTGTTTTTCATAGTGGCTGCACTATTTAACATTCCCTCCAGCAATGTACAACGTTCCAGTTTCTCCGTGTTCTTGCCAACACTACTTATTTTCTGTTTTTTGATACTAGCCATCCTAATGGGTATGAGATAATACTTCATTATAGTTTTGGTTTGCCTTTTTCTGTTGATTACTAATGTTGAGCATCTTTTCATAATCATGTTGTCTGTGTTATCTTTGGAGAAATATCTGTCCATATCCATTGTCCACTTTTTAATTAGATAATTATTTCTTTAATTGTTGTTGGGTTGTAGTCCTTTATATACTCTGTACATTAACCACTTATCAGATAACTGATTTGCAGATACTTCCTCCCATTCTGTATGTTCTTTTCATTCTGTTGATTGTCTCCTTTGATATGCAGAAGTTTTTAAGTTCGACATAGCCCCATTTGTCTATTTTTGCTTTTTGCCTGTGCCTTTGGAATCCTATCCAAGAAATCACTGCCATATTTTTAACATTTAATTTATAAAAGATTCTTTTTTAAAAAAGATTTATTTATTTTTATTTTAGAGAGAGAGAGAGAGCGTGGGTACATGAGCAGGGGGAGGGACAGAGGGAGAGAGGCAGAGGCTCCCACAACTCTGAGACCACCACCTGAGCTGAAATCAAGAGTCAGTCGCCCAGCCACTTGAGCCACCCAGGCGCCCCTAATTTATGAAATATTCTTTAAGATGTTTATTGTTATCTGTTAGTCCTTATTTCTTCATCAATGTGTGATATAAATAAAATTTGTTAAGTTCAAATTTTCAGCTTACCTTTAAAAGTCTGATATCACATAGGAGGGCACCTGGCTGACTCAGTCGGTGGAAGATACTGATATCAGGATTGTGAGTTCGAGCCCCACACTGGGTGTAGAGATTACTTAAAAATAAAATCTTTTTAAAAAAGTCTGATACCACATAGAATATTATACTTTTCCTACCATTTGTGGTGGGGGGCGTGTGATTATTTTTTTTTAATTATTTTTTAAGGGGCACCTGGGTGTTTCAGTTGGTTGGGCATCTGCCTTCAGCTCGGGTCATGATCCCAGGGTCCTGGGATTGAGCACCACATCGGTCTCCCTGCTTGGCGGGGAGACTGCTTCTCCCTCTCCCTCTGCCTGCCACTCCCCCTGCTTTTACAGTCTCTCTCTCTGTGTCAGGTAAATAAAAAATCTTAAAATAGGGGCGCCTGGGTGGCTCAGTCGTTAGGTGTCTGCCTTCGGCTCAGGTCATGATCTCAGTCCTGGGATCGAGTCCCACATCACGCTCCCTGCTCGGTAGGGAGCCTGTTTCTCCCTCTCCCACCCCTCCCCCCACTTGTGTTCCCTCTCTCTCTGTCAAATAAATAAATAAATTTTTTTTAAAACCTTTAAATAAATAAATTTTTTAAAGTAATCTCTTTACCTAATCTAGGGCTCTAACTCATGACCCGGAGATCAAGAGTCGCATGCTCTACCGCCTGACAGGCACCCACCATTTTTGATATCTAAAGAAAACAGTACATTATGTGTGAATGTTGAATTATTTTACAAAGTTATGCAGTGAAACTGATAAAAATTCTGCATCAATTTCTATCTTGACCTACACTTGCACATGTTAGTTAATGGGGGGCCCATAATTTGTACTAATTCCTTAAATAGATTATGATTTTGAAATTTTAATTTATATTCCTAATATTCCTTTCTTAATTTTTCTTACCACATCCTTTTCTAGTATTTGATTTACCAAGAATTATTTTGTTGCCAGTTAGATAATACTCTTGTTTGGTGATTGAGTACTCCCTAATTTGGGTCATTACTGTGTTCTATTCATTCCAGAGCAAGACTCTTTTCTATCAAAGTTTAATGATTTCAATCAGTTGCTTTTTTTAAAATAGGGAAATATTTATCTCTTTTTTTTTTTTTTTTTTTTTTTTTGACCCCTTTCACCCATTTCTCCTATCCCCCACCCCTGCCTCTGGCATCCCACTCTGTGGCATGCTGGCGTCTCTGGATACATTCATCTTACACAAGCCAGTGTTATATAGATAATGTGGAAAGGGGACAAAGTTCAGAACAGATGATTAGTGGCTAGTAAGACAATAACATTGAGGGCGCCTGGGTGGCTCAGTTGGTTAAGCGACTGCCTTCGGCTCAGGTCATGATCCTGGAGTCCCTGGATCAAGTCCCGCATCGGGCTCCCTGCTCGGCAGGGAGCCTGCTTCTGCCTCTGACTCTCCCCCCTCTCATGTGCTCTCTCTCTCTCTCATTCTCTCTGTCTCAAATAAATAAAATCTTTAAAAAAAAAAAAAAAGACAATAACATTGAAGTTTTTAAAGAATTTCATATACTTTTCTTTCCATACATAGACATCAATATGATGGATATCCTTACAACACCATCAATGGCTAAACCTAGACAAGATTATTCAAGAACCCCAGGACAAGTGTTATCTCTCATCAGCTCTTTGGGATTTGTAAGTACTTGATTAGAAAAAAGTCACATGACATGCCCTTTCGTGATTGCCGTTTAAAATTTTAAATGCTTTTTTTAAATAAATGTTCAAAATAAATTTAAATATCAAGCGTGTTGAGTTACTTTAACATTATCTACTTAGGTGGTATAACAGTCTATGTATTTAGGTGATGTTTTTGTGGAGGTAAATCTTAGCATTTGTTTTTGTTTTTCTCTCTTTAATAGTACACACCAGTTGCAGAAAAAAACAAAGACTCTGCAAATATTATTTCAACCCATGTATCTGAAACATCGCAGCTTTCTCAAGGACTAATTTGTCCTATGTCTGTAGATCACAGGGACACTACTCCTTATTCTAGCAAACTACTAAACTCATGTGAGTATAAAAGAAAAGGTAGTTTATTCCATTAAGTGTGTCTTTTGAGGAACAAAATGTTTTTGAATTTTTAAATTTCTAATATGGGGGGCGCCTGGGTGGCTCAGTCGTTAAGCGTCTGCCTTCGGCTCAGGTCATGATCCCAGGGTTCTGGGATCAAGCCCTGCGTCGGGCTCCCTGCTCTGCGGGAAGCCTGCTTCTCTCTCTCCCACTCCCCCTGCTTGTGTTCCCTCTCTCGCTATGTCTCTCTCTGTCAAATAAATAAATAAATAAAATCTTAAAAAAAAAAATTTCTAATATGGGTTTGAAATACAAATACCTGAACAGTCTGTGGCATTCCTATCGTGAATGCCATTTCTGACACAGATTGTTGCAAATCTTTTTTTTTTAAATAAAGATTTTATTTTAAGTAATCTCTATATCCAACATAGGGCTGGAGCTTACAACCCCGAGATCAAGAGTCACATGCTCTACTCACTGAACCAGCCAGGCGCCCCTATTGTAGATCTTTAAGTCAACAGACTAAAATACCTAGCTAATGAGACATTCCTCAGTTAGCTTGGTATTAGAATGATCATTGGGTAAATTTCACTATACTGGGTCTATGGAAACCTTAAACAGAGAAGATGTAGTACCTATAATATTTTGTGTTTTTATAAAATTATTTCCAAAAGATTTTGAAATAAAATAGTTGAAGTAAAGATATAATTTTTCATTAGCTCACAATGAAAAACAAAAGTTAAGTAGTAGAGGAAGAGAATGGGACATTTGTATAGCACTTAACTTCACCTTTTATAACTTAGCAATGGTAGATGATTTAGATCTCTGCACTCGATGTTCTTCATCTTGGGAATGTGAATAATGATGCTTTGTAGAGCAATTAGTGTTACATGTTTTCATAGATGTTACCTCATTTTGAATTTGTACATATCTGTACATATCCAGGATATCTCTCTTACAAATGAGAAAATTAATGTTTGAAAATAGTTACACACTAGAAGTGGGTAAGCCAAGTCCTGATTGCAACTATAATTATCTGTCCACTGACCCTTTCTTCCAAAGTCAATGAGTCTTATTTCTTCTGTCAGAATCACTTCTGTGGAAATCAAAATGGCTGAAAAACATAAATAGCTTAAATGAAAGTAATTGCATCTCCCTTAGTTGTTTTTTAAATCTAGTCAGAAGTAAATCAGGGCAAGGCACTGCTGGTCACCAAGTGGATATCAAGATGAATAAGAGAGGTCCTTGCCTCAGAAGAACTTGTAATTCTGTGTTGATTACATGTGTAAAGGGATAACAATAGCAATCCTCTAAAATAAAATCACAAGAAGGATACTGTGATACAACACAGAAAGTGTTAAATGCTAACTGGGAAAATCAGGAATGGTTCTCAATGAAGATATAGCAATAGCTCCAAATGTATTGGAAAAGGGCATTTCGGATAGAGGCATGAACAAAGGCACAGACACTTGGAAGTATTCCATCTTCAGACAATGGGGACTAAACGTGTTATGTGAGAATGCGAAGCATGGGCAAGGGGAAAGGAAGCTTAGCAGGTAGATGGGAAAGGATCAAGTGTCATTACAGGGAACCTAGAATTTAAGCTGTAGAAAAAGGGGAGTCCTCAAAAGTTCCAAAGAGGGGTGCCTGGTGGCTCAGATGGTTAAGCGTCTTCCTTAGGCTCCAGTCGTGATCCCACGGTCCTGGGATCGAGTTCCACATTGGGCTCCCTGCTCAATGAGGAGCCTGCTTCTCCCTCTCCCTCTGCCCCTTCTTGTGCTCTCTCTCTCTCTCTGTCAAATAAATAAATAAAATCTGAAAAAAAAAAAAAACAAAGAGGCGCCTGGGTGGCTCAGTCGTTAAGCATCTGCCTTCGGCTCAGGTCATGGTCCCAGGGTTCTGGGATCGAGCCCCACATCGAGTCCCACATCAGGCTCCCTGCTCGGCGGGAAGCCTGCTTCTCCCTCTCCCACTCCCCCTGCTTGTGTTCCCTCTGTCACTGTGTCTCTCTCTGTCAAATAAATAAATAAAATCTTTAAAAAGCAAACACACCAAAAAACACAAAAGTTCCAAAGGAATGGTCTGATCATATTACTGATCCAGAAAACTCTTTAGCAAATATACAGTATGCACATGGCGTTGGGGTAGACACAAATTTCCACATTCCTGCGGCGGGTGGCAAGCTGAGCAGTTTAGTCAAATATCAAAGTCAGTGTCCAATGAGTTTGAGGAATTTCATTGAGAGGGTTTATGTACCAAAAATAAAGTTGCTTTAGATGGCCATTGAAATTCTATTTCTAGTTTTAAAGTTCCAAGATTCATTAAATCAAAAAATTGTAAGAATTTACTTGAGATTAAAGTCATGAGTTCCCCTTCTTTGGGAAAGAAAAGACAAGATATACATATCTTTTTATATACATAGAAAATCTGTATATACACATATTATGATCTTTAGTAAAAGCCTACTGTGTCTCATAAGTTCAGGAACAACAGTTTTTAGCATCATTATTTGATAGACAAACATGTATCATGTAGGTGATGCTGCTTTCTTGTACTGGCTTGCTGTTAGCCAATTCACTGTTACTTGTTTTACCCAGTAGTATGAAAAGTCCCTTATGGATAGATAATTCACCCTTGTGAGCACATAAGCCTCAACATTAGAATAAAGCTATGTTTTTTATTTGAGAGGGAGAGAGAGCACAGGCAGGGAGGGGAGGGAGAGGGAGAGAGCATTTCAAGCAGACTCCATCCTAAGCCTGGAGCCTGATGCGAGGATCCATTTCATGACCCAGAGATCACGACCTGAGTGGAAACCTAAGAGTCAGATCCTTAACTGATTGTGCCACCCAGGTGCCCCTAAAGCTATGGTTTTAATTAAATACAAATTGAACTGAGTAAATTTAGTCACATTCCTATCATATCATATCTGGATATAGCATATCAATAATGCTCCTTTACAAGAAGAGTTTCAAAGTGGATAATGGATTTCCTCCTAATTACAGCTTAGTTCTTTTGTCCTGATTTTCACCTGTGAATGTTGAGGGTTTGCTTTTTTTTCCCTAAACGTTCACAACAGTATTTGTATGTCCAAAACACCTGAGCCATCCTGGCGGATCGGATAATGTTTACACAGACAGAGCTCTGATGTACAATACTTAATACTTTGCCTAATTATCTGGAAAGATTCAAGTTTGGTGAGGAACTCAGAAAGATGTGACATAAGCCCCAATATTTTTTCTTCCCTATAGGTCTTGAAACAGTTGCCTCCAATCCCGGGATGCCTGTGAAGTGCCTAACGTCTAATCTCCTGCAGTCCAGGAGAAGGCTGGCTACATCCAGTGCCAGCAGCCAGTCCCACACCTTCATATCCAGTGCGGAGTCTGAGTGCCACAGCAGCCCCCGATGGGAGAAGGACTGCCAGGTTAGAGTGGCATTTATCCCAACCCCAGCCTCTTTCCTATGCACATTAACGGTGGAGACACTTTATACCTTTCCATGTACATTCTATAAGGAAATGAAACTGTTACATGAATGGCAGTCAAGGTAGTTTTCATTTCCATGTATAATCTGTCAAATTATTTTTAAATATTTCATTTCTCATTCAAATGCAGAATTATTCATGATTAATATATAATGAGCTTACAGAAAAATGATAGTAAATATTTGGTTCAGGGCATCTAGATGGGCTTTTTTATTTATTTATTTATTTTTAAAGATTTTATTTATTTATTTGACAGAGAGAGACAGCGAGAGAGGGAACACAAGCAGGGGGAGTGGGAGAGGGAGAAGCAGGGTCCCCACGGAGCGGGGAGCCAGATGCGGGGCTCGATCCCAGGACCCTGGGATCGTGACCTGAGCCAAAGGCAGACGCTTAACAACTGAGCCACCCAGGCGCCCCAAGTTTTAAATTATAACAAAGTTTCCTTCATAGACTGCAGATAAAATAATGTTAGATTAGAATAATGGCAATATGCAAAAAGTAAACCTTCTGTTTGAGTAAATAATTTGGATTGTATTTACTCCTTATTCTCAGTAATATGATTTTCTTCATTGTTGGATATTTGTGTTCTAGAAGTAAAGTCAGATTATTTTTTAGTGAAGTCATTGTTTCTTGATCTTTTTTCCTTCTCTTATAGGCTGCTCTACAGGTAATACATGCTACAGGATAAACAGATTTCCTTTCCTAATAACTTGTTTCACCTCTTTGCTGTTCAAGAAGGCATATTGTATAATATTTCAAACCACACACAGCTTTACCTTCTCCCTACCACTTCTGTATCCGTGGGGAATGCAATGATTGGATTATAGTAGTGCTTCTCAAGTTAGGATCAGAGGAGTGACGATAGACAACAAGGGAACCCTGATAAACCCTGTGCTAATCCCTGGATGATCTGTGCCTGCAGATCTATGAGTTGTAATTTAGGGATTTTTGTTATTGTTGTTCATGACTAAGCACTCCTTATTATTACTAAGTAAGTTAATAAAGTCTGATTTTTACATACCAAAAATAAGCAGTATTTGAGTTTATTGAAGACACACTCTTACTGAGTAATCTTGTAAAAATCCGGATTACCATACACCAATGTATGATACTCTGTATAAAGCTCTGATCACACAAAAGCACCTGCAGATAGTTAGAATTCAAACAGATTTTAAGGAAAGTGGTTTGTTATCAATGCCTCATCATTTCATCTTGACAGTGGATTTTAATTCCTGTTATTTTGGGGTTTTAATTATAAATCATGATTAGTTTAGCTTTATCTTTATCAGCTTGGTTTTATTATACGTGTACGAAGTGATACCTGTTTAACAAAATTTTTGTCTATAATTTTCCATTAACTGTATTTTAAGTCCTGTGCATTTTGTAATTCAAAACAGAATCGTCTATACCTGTATTGCAAAGAAAATATCTATATAATATAGCGTTACCCTCGACTTTGCCTGAAAATGTTGCTTATTAATTTGTCCTAGCTAAAGAACATGTATCAAATATGTATTATAGAGGGGCGCCTGGGTGGCTCAGTCGTTAAGCATCTGCCTTCGGCTCAGGTCATGATCCCAGGGTCCTAGGATCGAGCCCCACATTGGGCTCTCTGCTCCGTGGGAAGCCTGCTTCTCCCTCTCCCACGCCCCCTGCTTGTGTTCCCTCTCTCGCTGTGTCTCTCTCAAATAAATAAATAAAATCTTAAAAAAAAAAAAGAAAACATGTATTATAGAATATCAAATACACATTATACAAATACATATTAAATTATGAAAAGACATATTAAAGAATAGTTTATTTGAATTTTAGACCAGTGTTTCACTCAAAATATATATAAAAACATGCTTTAATTGTTTATATTGCTCTTTAATTCTCTGTTATCATTGCTCTTTTGTTCCAATGGAAAGTGGGAATAGGTAGCGTAGTAGTTTATGGAGTCATTTATCCCACCTAAGTCAAGAGAGGTTTTAAAAGGTTCAAGAATCTCAGTTTTATATAACTAAAAAAGTGTTTTTTCCTCCCTCTCAGGAAAGTGATGATGCACTGGGCTCTACAGTGATGAGTTGGAATATAATAGAAAAGCCTTCATGTACAAAATCTACCAATTCCATTGAAACCAAAGATTTCAATAAAAAGGATCTTGAGTTAGTGCTTTCTCCCATTCATAACAGCAGTACCATTCCTGAGACTGGAAGCTCTTGTGTAAACCTGGCTAAAAAATGCTTCCCCGGGGAAGTTTCTTGGGAAGCAAAAGAACTGGATATAAATAATATTCATGTGGCCACTGACACAGCACAGTCTGGTTTTCACCAGTCAGAGGAGTGGACTGTGGATTCTGGTGATAGGACTGAAGAGCACCTCGGAAAAAGAGGTTTTAAAAGAAATTTTGAGTTAGTTGACTCTAGTCCTTGGCAGAACATCATACAGAATAAAAAAAACTGTATAGAGCAGAAGTCTAGAAATGAAATGAGCGATGGTTATATAAATCAAAGGACAGGCTTAACAACTGAAGTCCAAGACCTGAAGCTATCTGTATGTGGTCAGCAAAGTGACTGTGCTGATAAGGAGAACATGGTCAATTCTTTCATTGATAAACCACACACCCCAGAAAAATCACCTACCCCGATGATAGCAAAAAACCTTCTGTGTGAACTGGATGAGGATTGTGACAAGAATAACAAGAAGGACCTCCTAAGTTCTAGTTTTCTATGTTCCGACGATGAGAGAGCTTCTAAAAGTATTTGTATAGACTCCGATTCATCTTTTCCCGGAATTTCTATCATGGAAAGTTCATTAGAAAGGCAGTCCTTAGATCCAGATAAAAGCATCAAAGAATCCTCTTTTGAAGAATCAAACATTGAAGACCTACTTACCGTATCACCCAGCTGGCAGGAAAATACCTTGCCGAAAGGTGATGAGAATCCTGCTGTCCAAGGCAGTAGCCAAAAAATGTTAGCTCCGTCTTCGGAGGTGTTGAAAACATTAACCTTATCTAAAAGAAATGCTGTAGCTTTTCGAAGTTTTAACAGTCCTATCAATGCGTCCAAAAACTCAGAACCATCCGAAATGAGCATTACCTCTTTAGATGGAATGGATATTTCCTGTGTTTATAGTGGTTCATATCCCATGGCTATAACCCCTAATCAAAAAGGAACATCCTATATGCCATATCAGGTATGTTCTCACTTTTTGACACTTTGTCGTTAGATTTTATAGCCATAAACTATGAAAGCCAGATACTTGCCTCTCACCTAGACTGAGATTTTCTGTTCTGCTGCTTGGGAATCTATAGATTGTTGGAGGTTTTGATACCAAAAGGTAAACCTGGTAGCAATTTATTATTATTAACTATAGCACTTCTTCATTTGCTTCTAGCCTTTCACATATTTTCTTTCTTTTTTTAAGATTTTATTTATTTGAGAGAGCGCATGCATGCACGAGCAGCGGGGAGGGGCAGAGGGAGTGGGAGGAGCAGACTCCCCACTGAGCAGAGAGCCCAATGCTGGGCTCGATCCCAGGACCCCAGGATCATGACCTGAGCCAAAGGCAGCCACTTAACTAACTGAGCCACCCAGGCGCCCCTATACTTTCACATATTTTCAATCACATGTTTACATATTTACAGTCACATATTTTCACTTGACGACAGCAACTCTAAGATACAATATTAAAGTTCACTCTATCTGACTCCCTTTTAAGGACCTTCCTAGATTATCTCTTTTCTTTATAGAAAATAGTTGGAAAATATATATTTCAAATCTTATGTTATTTTTATTTTCTAAACCTTTATCTTAACAAACCCAAAGTTTCTTTTTTTTTTTCTTTTTTTGGAGACATGACATAAAATTGAAAGTACAAACTCTGAATTAGGGTCACAAGACTTGGAGTTTTCTATTCAGAACTTACTGAGTGACTTAGAAGTCTGTTTTCCTCAGAGCCTCAGCTTCTTACCTCTCTTAGAATATGCTGACACCTCTCCCACTGGTCTCACAGAGTCCTTGTAAGACCACAAAGTATCTTTAAAACTTACATACCAATTAGCACAAAAAGTTATTTATATTTTGTTCCAGCTGATGTGTTGTCCCAATAATTCAATCATTTGTCAGCCACAACATCCCTCAGTGACCATTCTTAAGTTTGTATTAATCCATTCTACCAAGAAAGAAATTTTTCTTGCGGATTTCTTCATTCTTTCTTGCATATCTCGATCTTATTGAAATAATTGGTCTTATCTAAGCTATTTAATTTCACCAGATATCAGGACTGTTCAAAATTATAGTTGGTGGCTCAGTTGGTTGGGCAACTGCCTTCGGCTCAGGTCATGATCCCGGAGTCCCTGGATCAAGTCCTGCATCGGGCTCCCTGCTCGGCAGGGAGTCTGCTTCTCCCTCTGACCCTCCCCCCTCTCATGTGCTCTCTCTCTCATTCTCTCTCTCTCAAATAAATAAATAAATAAATAAATAAAATCTTTTAAAAAAAAAATTATAGTTGGTAATGAGTCCATTTTCAAAACTGATCAAGGATTTGAGTATGTCTTGTATGCCCAGCAGCCTAGCTTTGCTTTTGTTTTAGCATTTCTGTTCACTGTAAAAGGAATGAAGATATGGGGCGCCTGGGTGGCTCAGTTGGTTAGGTAGGTGTCTGCCTTCGGCTCAGGTCATGATCCCAGGGTCCTGGGATCGAGCCCCACATCAGGCTCCCTGTTCAGCGGGGAACCTGCTTCTCCCTCTGCCCCTCCCCCTGCTTGTGCTGGCTCTCTCCCTCTCTGTCAAATAAATAAATAAAATCTTGAAAAGAAAGAAATGAAGGTATTTATTATAAACTCTTTTTAAATTAGCAGACCCCAAATCAGGTCAAATCAGGAACTCCATACCGAACTCCAAAGAGAGTGAGGAGAGGGGCAGCCCCCGTGGATGATGGGCGGATTCTTGGGACCCCGGACTACCTCGCACCTGAGCTGTTATTGGGCAGAGCCCATGGTAAGGCTTCCATGTCTTGAGTTTCTGAAGTGTTCTCTAGCACTACATTTTCTTTTGAGGTAAAATTGTTCTAAATTTCTTTGGTATTTGAATTGCCTAGAGTAAGAGAAAAGGAACTCATGTGACACTCTTTTCTTGTAAATATGGCATTTCTTACGGTAAAAGAAGACATGCAGCCATTTGATCTTTGCCTTCCCATTCAGTCTCCGGGACCCAGGCAAGTCCTACCACCCACCCGCTCTGTCATCTTAGTTCAGAAAGTCTCCTCAGGTCTGTTCCAGCTTTGGCTCAGGAATGCAGAGTTGAGCCAAAACTTCTGTTCAGTCTGTAGCAGCGCACTCCTGGTTAGAGCTTGCCCTCAGAAACTTAGAAGACCCTCACCACAAGGGTCAAGCCAGAGAGGAGCCATCTTCGGGATGCAACAGAGGAAGACCAGGGGGACATTTTTACTTAGCGTCTTTTTTCCCCTTCCTCTCTCTGAAGAATTTTCCCTTCCTGCCTTCTGAAATGAACTGTATTGGTTTCCTAGGGCTTCTATAATCAAATGCCACACACTGGATGGTTCCAAACAACAGGAATTTATTGTCTGACAGTTCTGGAAGCTGGAAGTCTGGAATCTAGGCGTGGACAGGACCATGCTCCCTCTGAAAGGTGTAGGGGAACGACCTTGCCCCTTCCAGCTTCTGGTGGTTTGCCTGCAACCCGTGGCTTGCAGGGCCCTCACTCAAACCAGCATGTGGTATTCTCCCTGTCTCCATGGTCACGTGGCTGTGTTTTATAAGGACACCAGTCATACTGGATTAGGGGCCCACCCTACTCCAGGGTGACCTCTGCAAGGACCATATTTGCAGATGGCATACTCAGAGGACCTCAGGGTTAAGACTTGAACATGTCTTTTCAGGGAGACATAATTCAGTCCATAATGTGATCACCTTCTTGATCTTGTCAGTTACTTCCCTATTCTTAGGGCTCCTTTGGTAATCAGCTGTCTCATCTTCACCCCCACCCACACACACACATCCCTTCTATTTTTATTTCTATGCTGCCTTTTCTCCTTAGCCTGCAAATAAGCTTCCACCCCTGTCTTTCCCCACCACCCACCTTCTCAAAGGTTGCCTCTTTCCTTTGGCTGATTATTTTTGCTCTGGCAATCTGATTTTTATCCCTACCATTTAACTGACACTTTTTTTTTTTTAATTTCTATTTGTAAGTAATCTCTACACCCAACATGGGGCTCGAACTCACAACCCTGAGATCAAGAGTCGTACACTCTACTGACAGAGCCAGCCAGGTGCCTGTAACTGGCACTTTTTTATTAACAGTCATCAATGATGTCGTTCTTGTCAGATCTACCAGCCTCTTCACAGTCTCCTTCGTCTTACCTCTGTTGCTAACTCCTTAGCTCTTCAATATATAAAGATTCTTCATGATCCTGCCGTTTCCCTTTTTTCCCTACCCCTGCTTCCTGTTAATCTCATCTCTCCCATGACTTCAGCAGTCACATCCTTGTCGATGCTTACCAAATATCTGTCTCTAATCCTGACTTTCTCTAGGCAGCATACACATGGCCAAAGTACCTACGCAGCATTGCATTGGGGATTCAAGTGCTGTGTGTCAATACAGGACGTGTCCAGCTTGCTCTTCCTCTGTTCCCTCTCTCAATCCTGCCATCTGCGTGATGACACAGACATTGTCCCTGCATTCAGGCATTTAAATCCAGTCAATTCTGTCCCTGCAGAATTTCTTCTCACCTTTTAATCTCTGCCACTATCTTCTATAAGAACCTCCTCTTTCCCTTTCATTAATTTACTAGCTCTCTTCCTGGGACATCAACTTCATCCTATTGTCTATAATCATTGCCACCACATTTTCCCTCTTAAGACATAAAGTGGTCCGTCATTCTACTTCTCCCCTTAAAAACCACATTGGCACCTTCCTACCTGCAGAATAAAATCCAGATTACTGATCATGGCATCGGAGGCTCTAAGCTCTTATACTAGCCTCGTCTCTCAAGGAATCTCTCTTTCTTTTATAAAGAACAAAAATGTGTTTGGCACACACAGTTTGGAGTCTGGGTAGTCTACAATCGAGGCACTGGCGGACTCAAAGAATCTCATTATAGGTCTTATGTTCCCATTCCACTTCTTAGACACATTATTTTCAGGTTTTCCTTATTTTGCACAAGTATTTTGCCTTAGTTGAAAAAAGCCAGAACCCAATCCTCTTCCAATCAAATTTCTTCTCATCTCATTATCAGTTCAAATGTTACCTCTTTCACAAAGCATCCATTGGCCAACTATGAAGAAGTAGTTGTTCACGTCTCTGTCACTTTTTTTTTTTTTAAGATTTTATTTATTTATTTGAGAGAGAGAAAGAGCACAAGCAGGGGCAGAAGGAGAGGGAGAAGCAGGCTCCCCACTGAGCAGGGAGCCCGATGCGGGGCTCAATCCCAGGACCCTGGGATCACGACCTGAGCTGAAGGCAGAGGCTTAACCGACTGAGCCACTCAGGCCCCCCCATCTCTGTCGCTTTATTAGAAACTGTTTAAAGCTTATGTCATTTTACCTTATTATATTTATCTCCACTGCAAAAGCTTAAGAAAATTTCTTAAGACGCGAGTCTAGGTTCCCCTTCTACCTGGCACTCCAGGAGGATTCCTTGGTAGCACTCACTAACACTGTTAATAATCTACAGTGTTGAAACACATTTCGAATTCCCCCTTATTAGTGCTCACTTCGGCAGCACATATACGAATTCCCCCTTATTAGCCAAAGCAACTAAGTTCCTCTGGGCACCTAACTGATTTTTGTACAGTGTCCATGTTGCTAAGTTACAGGTTTGTCAGCTCATTTCCTATAATATATGTTTTCTCTACTTAGGATACAGTATAAAAGTAAGCTTCACATACAAACATTTGCTTTTTAGGATCTTGCCACTATTTTAATGGGACATCTAGTTACCTCAGCTATCTAGTGATTTATTTTAAGATTTTCATTTTCTATAAAATATTTGATACACAGTTCTTAAAATAACAAATACAAAGCAATTTTTTTTTTTAAAGTAGGCTCCACACCCAGCGTGGAGCCCAGTGCAGGGCTTGAACTCACAATTTTGAGATCAAGACCTGAGCTGAGATCAGGAGTCAGACACTTAACCGACTGAGCCATCCAGGGCCCCAATACAAAGCAATTTATAATTTAAAAAGAAAAATCACTGCTTTATACCTCTTTCCCCAAATCCCAGGCCTCAAGGGCAGTCTCTGTAGCAACTTTGTTTCTTGTATTGACCTCTCTGTTTCTAAACATCATGCTGAGAACAGCTAAGACTTCTCTGAGCCCTCCATGGTCTCCCCCCCTCTACCAATTACTTAGGAACTCTGGCCAGAGTTTCCCATAGCTTCTTGTGCATATTTTTATTTCATTTTTCTTAACATTGTGTCAAAATTATCTGTTTTGTCTTGCCTGGAGTAGGTTGATTTCTCCTTGGAAAAAGCTCTCTTATTTATCTTTGTGTCCCTTGTGTCTGGCATAATATTTAGGATCTAGTTTGGTGAATGCTGTGCGGATGAACTCATGATTTTAATACAATGTACCTAACTACTCTTTTCTTACATGCAGGATTTCTGACTTCTGGTGAGTGAGCTTCTCTATAAAGTAATATGGCAAAGCAAATTAAACTGGTCAAAGTATAACTAGATCACATTGCATAAAAAAGTATTTTCCCTTTCATCTTACTTAGGAAATACAAAATGAACTGTATTCTATCTTCTGAACAGGAGGACATCCAGGGAGAATAGAATGTTCTCTATGAAAACAAATGTAGGCATGTAGCATTTTTAAAATAACTTTTAAATGTGGCAAAGAGTGAAGATACAGCCTTTTTATTGCAACCCAGAAAATAGGCTTAATAAAAAATATTAAAATTAGCACCGACAAAAGAGCTTGAATTTTCCTACCCATTTAATTCCATTATTATTAGAAAACAGAAAGACCTAACAGTATCAGTGTACAAATTACAGATGGGGGTTTCATATTAGAAAACCAATAGTGTGAAACAAGTTTGTTCTATTTCTCTGGCTAATGGTATGTATTATAATTGCTACAATTTATCATCATGTGTGATCTTATTAGACTTTGACTCAAATATATGGGTATGTGTGACATATCCATGGAGAAATCATGTCAGTTTTTGACAGGAGTACATTTTGGCTGAGCTGGGAAAAGGGTTCTAGTTTCTAACCTAAGTAAAATAATGAAGATACATATTTTTTCCTGACTTCTCTCCTACTTTTCTGTTATTTGGTTATACTATCTATTCTTTCTCAGTGCTGCTTAAAAGGTCTACTAACCAAAGTGGTTTGTATGTTTTTTTAATAGTGATTATTATAGAAATAGAAGTCTATAGACTGTTTACATTCTTTGTTCCTTACGGAAGATGGGATTATGTGGCTTGCAATGAAGAGGCACTCTAAATGCATGCGATTATTTTCCTAATGGCAGATTCTACAGTGCTTTCCTACTTGTTTTAAAATGGAATGGTGGCAGTTGCTTAACCACAATAATGAATTTTGTGAAATTGATTTTATAGCAGTTTTTTTATTAGTTTTTTTTATTCACTTGAGAGAGAGCAAGCAAGCGAGAAAGAGAGCACGAGCAGGGGAGAGGGGAAACAGGAGAGGGAGAAACAGAGTCCCTACTGAGCAGGGAGCCCGACATGGGGCTCAATCCCAGGACTCTGGGGTCATGACCTGAGCCAAAAGCAGACATTTAACTGATTGAGCCACCCAGGCGTCCCATGAAATTGATTTTAAAGAGTAATTTTCAAGCACATTTAGTACTAGACTAGAATTCCTATTTTAAATTTATAGTGAAGTTAATCATTTTTGACTAAAATTAACCTTTGCTTCAGAAATATTTTTTCGTAGCACTAACAAAACTATAAACCAGATTATAAGGTCATGTTTAAAATAATTGTTTGAAACATCTTTGTATATAGATGATGCTTCCAGTAAAGATCTTTAGAAATCAGTTTTACGTATTTATTAAGACTTACCTCCTGGGGCTCCTGGATTGCTCAGTCGTTAAGCGTCTGCCTTCAGCTCAGGTCATGATCCCAGCGTTCTGGGATCAAGCCCTGCATCAGGCTCCCTGCTCAGTGGGGAGCCTGCTTCTCCCTCTCCCACTCCCCCTGCTTGTGTTTCCTCTCTCGCTGTGTCTCTCTCTGTCAAATAAATAAATAAAATCTTTAAAAAAAAAAAAAAAGACTTACCTCTCAAGCCAGAGTTTAAGTGAATATTTTTTATTAAACTAATTTGTCCTTCTCTGTTTTTAAAAGGAGTAAGAGGACATTAAAACCCTGTAAGGCTTTCCTTTGTTAACCAGGCTGTCCTCCAATTAGTATAAATGTTGCTATTTCATCTCATACCCATGTGAGCAAGTGGAGTACAAAACCATCTAAATGTTATTGTTTCCCTCCCCCATTTGAAATTGACAAGCACTCTATTTTAGAGAGTAATCTGTAGGTTAAATGTATTTCTTCATAGTGTTTTAGGATTTAGAACAAGTAAATATCCAGAATATGAGAGGTTTTTAGTGAGTGACAAAAGAAAGATAGCTTTAACTTTTCTTTGACTAGCTGTGTTAATTGCTAATCTAAACTTCTTGGAGAATAGAAGGAAAATAATTGCCATGTTACTGAAATGAAGATAATCTGGGTTTTTGTACCTTATGGAACTAGAAGAAAGCCTTAGGAAATGAATGCCTTGACTGTGCCCAAATATCCATGTATTAACGTTTTAGTTGATGAAACATTTGCACAAAATGCTTGCAAGTTCAACTACTCCCTTTTAAATTCCAGGTCCTGCAGTAGACTGGTGGGCACTTGGAGTTTGCTTGTTTGAGTTTCTAGCAGGAATTCCTCCTTTCAATGATGAAACACCACAACAAGTATTCCAAAATATTCTGAAAAGAGGTGATTCTTTTTCTATTAAGACAGATGCATTTATCTCTGTGTATTATTTGAACAATGATTAACAAGCTATTTGTATTTGTAGATATCCCTTGGCCTGAAGGTGAAGAAAAGTTATCTGATAATGCTCAAAATGCAGTAGAGATACTTTTAACTATTGATAATGCAAAGAGAGCTGGTATGAAAGGTAAGGTTTTGTGTTAATAAACTCCTAGCTTGATTTGTTTAAGATGAATGGTAATAATGATACTAAGTTCTAGGACAATACTGTAGATAATCTGACTGCTAAATTGGTTAAAAATTTCTTCAGTTTATTTTTGCCTGCTAGATATGCATTGATATATTTGTCCTTATTCTGCATTAAAATTCAGTGCATCAGGTTGGGATACTCACTCTCTGAATTTTATTAATCTCAAACAGGTACCTTAAAGCAATCTTATCTTGTCAGTGTCTTGGGTTTTTTCAAAGCCTAATAAAGTTACTCATCAACCAATACAGGAAATTTTTTTTTTTTATCAAAACTCTCTTCTATAATTTCTTACTGCTTCATTTCTGATACCACTGTTGACTGACAAATGTATCAGGTGTCTCAAATAAGACAAATCTGGTATCTTTGTGATCCATTCAATGGTTTTTTCCAGTGCAGGGGTATATTAAACTCCAATTTTGAAACTAGAAAACTCATTAACTTTAATTTAGATTCAAATTAGGTTTAATGTCAACTGCCTTAAAATCCCTTTTCTAACAAAGTATACATAGAGACAAAGAAGCAGTTATGTCCCCAAATGCATTTCCATGTGGTCTAAGGTATTGAGAAAAATGAACTTCAGTAATATGTCACTTGTGTCAGCTTCTAGATATTCCCTCTAATAAGATCAACAATTTATTTCCTTATTTAACAAATCCTATAGAGTGACTTCTAGGTGCCAGGCAATGGGTGCTGGAGGTATCCTAGGGACGAACCAGACTAAAATCCATGTGCTGTACAACTTACTCTCTAGGGGAAAGACACAGGTAATGAGATACAGCCATAACAATGCATCTAGCAGTGAGTACTGAGAAGAAAGATAAAGCAAGTGAGTGGATACAAAGTTTGACAAGAGATTTTCTAGCTGGAGTGGTCAGGAAGACCTCTGTGAAAAGTGGGATTTGAGGAAAATCCTATGTAAAGTGAGGGTGCAGACATTTGAAAGCCCAGCTTTAAAAATTACTTTAGGAGTTCTCAACTGGGGTAATTTTGCTTCCCAAAGGACAAAATAAACAGAGATAGAACACCATTCTCACCAATGACCTCAGATTTTTGTTCGTTTGTTTAATGAACAGTTTACATAGTGAAGCAGATGACAGGAGAGGTCTTCAGTTAAAAACAGTTGTTGCAACAACTGTTTGTAGAGTTAATCTTAAACTGGCTTAGAATTCTTTTGTGAGTTCAGTTTAAATAAATAGTTATGATGAGAGAGTCATAAAGCGTCACATCACAGCCAGATACCAGTTTAAGAGTTACTGCTATAAGTAACTCTAATCCATGCTCAGACATTTATTTTGAACAATTAAGAGACAGATTCTTTTTGCTATTTTATTGTTTTCCTACCAGTCTTTTAGTTTAGGGGAAAACCAGCTTGTAGATATACTGACTTCCCAAGCCATCACTCCCAATATAGACACATAATTCTTTCCTGTCTGTGTAGTCTTCTCCCAATATTTGCCTTAAATTTGGTTGCTGGTTTTTTGAACTGCTTAATGCCTTGATTGTCACCTAATTTTTTTGCCAACGTCTTTATATTTGTCTTATAAAGTGAAGGGTTGAGGATAGGGGAGGTTGTGTCTAGCAACTAAATATCACAGTGTGATCAAAAGAACATGTTTTCGTTTTATTTTATTTATTTTTTTGTTTAAATATTTTATTTATTTATTTGTCAGATAGAGAGAGAGACAGCACAAACAGGGGGAGCAGCAGAGGGAGAAGCAGACTCCCCGCTGAGCAGGGAGCCTGATGCGGGACTCGATCCCAGGCCCCTGGGGTCATGAGCTGAGCTGAAGGCAGATGCTTAACTGACTGAGCCACCCAGGCATCCCACATGTTTTCATTTTAGTAGGTAGAAGGAATTAGGAAAGAAGGCAGGTACTGCAAATGTAGTTAAAGAGATGAGCAAAGTTGAGATCTTGTAAGTGAAGCAATAAAGACTCCAGATATATTCATGCTGCTAAAAGGGCATGTAGTCAAGATACAATCAATGAAATCAAAGAAGTCAAAGAACCATGAAGAGAATATGTCACAAATGTCATCAGTGTATGTGTTGAAATCACCATGAAGGATAAGGATGGGGCATAGGAAAGAAATTAAGGTAGTGGAGGATGATGTTTTTACCAGAGTTACCTAAGGTAATAGGTGGTGATAAGGATTGCAGAGAAAGAAACAGGTAGCAAGGACTTGGAATGAGAAGTGAAGCATTAATCATGAAGATCAGTGGTGTGGAAGCTGTGTCTGGGAGCAGGAAGCAGGCCAAGCTCTTGTCCCATCAAGTCAGGGATTGTGTGAGAAGATGGAGGCATGAGATAATATAGGCTTCTGTTAAGGAAAACCATTCATTCACTCATTTGATGAATACAGGCCAAGCACCTGTCATATGTCAACTGTTATACAAAATGACATAATGTGTGCCATTATGAAGTACATGGTTGCCCAGAGAGACAGACATTAAACACATATGTGTGAAGCAAAACAGGGCAAAATATATCTGAGATCTTCCCTTACTTCCTGTAAAACAGTACTTACTTAGGTAACAGTGTTATAATGCTCTATTTTGTTTTATATTTTTCCTAAGAGCTGAAACGTCATCCTCTCTTCAGTGATGTGGACTGGGGAAATCTGCAGCATCAAACTATGCCTTTCATACCCCAACCAGATGACGAAACAGATACATCCTATTTTGAAGCCAGAAATAATGCTCAGCACCTGACTGTATCTGGATTTAGTCTATAGCACATAAATTTCCTTTTAATCTAATCTTGGCTTATAAGCTATCATAATTATATACTCCTTCATAAGAGATTGATCTAAGGGGGAAAAAGAATCATTATGTTACTTGGATCAATGAGTTTTTAATGTATGTTACAGCTTCCACAAAGTTAAAATTCTCTCAAGAACACAGTAACTTATCTTAATTTCAGAGTTGTATATAGATCTTCAAAACTTCTTTCACTTTATTTTGTTACCGCACTTTATGAAAATTCATGCATCAATAAAACTAGAATGACACTACTCTGTTAGAAGAGGAACAAGCTTTGAGCCTAAATTTCTTTCACGTGTTGATTTCAGTCCACCATTCAGTTTGATGTTAAAATAACAAAATCATACGGTTTTATTGTAATTTATTTGGACATAATTGCCTGCAAAAGCTGAAGTCTCGAGAGCAATCATTTAAGCTTGCACTTGTGGCCTCAAAACTGCAGCTGGGAAATTCCTTCACTCAGTAGTGTAACTCCTTTAGGGAATGAGGAATAAAAAGGAGAGAGGCTTTAGCTAACCTTACTTTGAAACAGTCTTGCTTCCTTGACTACTTCTGGTGCTTTCTCTACAATACATATTTGCTTAACATTGTACTGGAGAGCTTAGGTGTGATATGCTGTAGCAATTTTAATGGCTTATTCAATTTTAATAAAACATGATGGTTTACATCTTAAAAGAATTTGTTTAAAACATGTGCAACATTACAAGAAACAACCTGATCCTTAAAAATAAATAATAACTTATTTTTGCTTAATAAATGTAACACTTCAAGTATATTATCTGTCAACATCCTTCTATTAAATATATATACACACTAAGATTCAACTTCCCTATAATAATTTGTTACCCAGTGGTAAATAGATGGGTGAGTAGTCAGAGATAAAGGAAGATGGTGACAAAGTAGGAGGACCCTAGTCTTGCCTTGTCCCATGAACAGAAGTACATAACAATGAAATCATCCTAAATACCCCAGAAATAGACCTGAGGACTAACAGAACAAACTCTACAACTAAAGGGAGAGAAGAAGCCACATCGAAGAAGGTAGGAAGTATGGAGACATGGTTTAGGAGAGAAAATGGATCCTGGTTGTTGTGGAGGGGAAGGAGCTATGGTCACAGAAAAGGGCGAGAGAGAGGAGCACACTGGATTGCACAAGGACGTTTCCCCATAGCCACCTGGCTCAGAAAACAAGAGGGGCTGAATTTCATGAGTTCTTGCAACTAGGAGGACTTAAAGCCTGGAGTTTAAAGTTCAACAGGATTGATTGGGATAGAGCCCATAGGCACTATGCTGCTCCTAGAGAGAAGGCAGACAGCTTGGAAAGGCGATCTAGAGTGCTGGGGCACATGGTGGGGAGATTACTCCCTCTTGGAGCTGCCCCTGAGAGGCAGAGTTCATGGAGACATCTCTCCAGGGACAGAGGTACCAGCTAGTGCTATTTCCCTCCCCTACCCCTCAGCATAAACGGAGCCACCTGTAGGAAGCACTGTGGCACCAATATTGGCTACCTAACTTGCTTACACCAAGCACCATTCCCCTGCACTACAGTGGAACCACCCTTCTCAGTTAGGCTTGCCTCAGTCCCACTGTGGGGGGACCTTCCCCCAGAAGACCAGCACAAAGCCCAGCCCATACCACATCTCCCAACCAGAGAGTTTTGCAGGGCCTCAGTTCCAGTGGAGGTGGTGACGGGACTCGTGTCACAAGCAGACCAAAGCACACCTAGTTAAAACTCACCACATTCAAGCCAGGTACCAAACACAGGCAAAGAGCCTTTGCAGATGACTGGCCTCAAGGACAGAGCAGTCAGAACACAACAGCAGAATGCACACAACACACACCGGAGGCACTCACTGAAGCACCAGGCTGTGGGCATTACTGTCAGGAGCACAAAACATAATTGGAACATAGACAAGAAGGCAGCGACTTAGACAAAATGAGAAGTCAGAGGAATTTACCCCAAATGAAAACAAGGTAAGGCCACAGCCAAAGATCTAAATGAAATGTAAGTAATATGCCTGTTAGAATTAAAAGCAACAGGGGGTGCCTGGGTGGCTCAGTCAGTTGGGTGTCTGCCTTTGGCTCAAGTCATGATCCCTACCTGGGATCAAGCCCCTCATCCGGCTCCCTGCTCAGCGAGGAGTCTACTCCCTCTCTCTCCTTGCTGCTCCCCCTGCTTGTACTCTCTCTGTCTCAAATAAATAAAATCTTTAATTTTTTTTTAAAGATTTTATTTATTTATTTGACAGAGACACAGCGAGAGAGGGAACACAAGCAGGGGGAGTGGGAGAGGGAGAAGCAGGCCCCCGCCGAGTAGGGAGCCCAATGTGGGGCTCGATCCCAGGACCCTGGGATCATGACCTGAGCCGAAGGCAGATGCCCAACGACTGAGCCACCCAGGCGCCCAAATAAAATCTTTTAAAAATAAAAATAAACGGGTGCCTGGGTGGCTCAGTTGGTTAAACAACTGCCTTTGGCTCAGGTCATGGTCCCGGAGTCCTGGTATCGAGTCCCACATCGGGCTCCCGGCTCAGCGGGGAGCCTGTTTCTCCCTCTGACCCTCTCCTCTCTCATGCTGTTTCTCTCTCTCTCTCTCAAATAAATAAATAAATAAAATCTTTAAAAATAAAAATAAAAAAGCAACAATCATAAGGATATCCACTGGGCTTGAGAAAATAATAAAAGACATCAGTGTGATCCTTACTGTAGAGAAAAGTTAAAAAAGAATCAGAGATGAAGAGTGCCATAAATGAGATTAGAAACATCGTTCCAGGGGCGCCTGGGTGGCTCAGTTGGTTACGTGACTGCCTTCGGCTCAGGTCATAATCCTGGAGTCCCGGGATCGAGTCCCGCATCGGTCTCCCTGCTCAGCAGGGAGTCTGCTTCTCCCTCTGACCCTCCCCTCTCTCATGCTCTCTGTCTCATTCTCTCTCTCAAATAAATAAATCTTTAAAAAAAAAAAAACATCGTTCTAGAAGGCTGGAAGAAGCAGAGGAATGAATTAATGACCTAGAAGACAAAGCAGTGGAAAGCAATGAAGCTGAACAAAAAAGAATCATGCAAATGAGAATAGAGTTGGGGAACTCAGTGACTCCACCAAATGTAATAATATTTGCATTATAGGATCCCCAGAAGAAAAAGAGAAAAGGGGGCAGAAAATATATTTGAAGAAATAATAGCTGAAAAATTCCTTAATCTGGAGAAGGAAACAGACATCCAGATCTAGGAGGCAAAGAGAACTCCCATCAAAATCAACAAAAGGAGGCCCACACCAAGAAATATTGTAATTAGCAAAAAAATCTTAAAAGCAACAAAAAAAGTCATTAACTTACAAGGAAAAACCCATAAAGCTAACAAGAGGTTTTTCAACAAAAACTTGGCAAGCCAGAAGGGAGTGGTGTGATATATTCCAAGTGCTGAATGGAAAAAATCTGCAGCCAAGAATACTCTATCCAGCAAGGCTATCATTCAGAATACAATGAGAGATAGTTTCCAGACAAACAAAAACTAAAGGAGTTTGTGGCCACTAAAACAGCCATGCAAGAAATATTAAAGGGTACTTTTTGATTGGAAAGGAGAGACCAAAAATGACAGTATAAAGGCAGGAAATATAAAAGCAATAAAAATGAATTTTTTTTTTTTTTAAGATTTTATTTATTTGAGAGAGAGCACAAGCAGGGGCAGTGGCAGAGGGAGAGGGAAAAGCAGGCTCCCCGCTGAGCAGGGAGCCAGACATGGGGCTCAATCCCAGGACCCCGGGATCATGACCTGAGCTGAAGGCAGACGCTTAACTGACTGAGCCACCCAGGTGATTTCTATACACCAATAACGAAGCAACAGAAAGAAAAATTAAGAAATCAATCTCATTTATAATTGCACCAAAGACAATAAGATACCTAGTAATAAACCTAACCAAAGAGGTGAAAGACCTGTACGCTGAAAATGATAAAACACTGATTAAATTGAAGATGACACAAAGAAATGGAAAGACATTCCATGTTCATGGATTGGAAGAACAAATATTGATAAAATGTCTACACTACCCAAAGCAATCTACACATTTATACAATCCCTATCAAAATATTAAAAGCATTTTTCACTGAGCTAAAACAAACAATCTTAAAATTTGTATGGTACTACAAAAGACCCCAAATAGCCAAAGCAATGTTGAAAAGGAAAAATAAAGTGGGAGGCATCACAATTCTGGACTTCAAGTTATATTACAATCAAAATATGTACTGGTACTGGCACAAAAATAGACACATAGATCAATGGAACAGAAGAGAAAACACAAAAATGAACCCACAACTATATGGTCAATCTCTAACAAGGCAGGAAAGTATATCCAGTGGGAAAAAGCCTCTTCAATAAATGGTGTTGGGAAATCTGGACAGCACCATGCAAAAGAATGAAACTGGACCACTTTCTTACACCATAGACAAAAATGAATTCAAAATGGAATAAAGACCTAACTGTGAGACCTGAAACTATACAAATCCTAGAAGAGAACACAAGCAGTATCCCCTTTCCTCTTTCCAGATATGTCTCCAAAGGCAAGGGAAACAAAAACAATAATAAACTAATGGGACTACATCAAAATAAAATCTGCACAGTGAAGAAACCAATCAACAAAACTAAAAGGCAACCTACCAAATGGGAAAAGATATTTGCAAATGACATATCCAATAAAGGGTTAGTATTCAAAATATATAAAGAACTGATACAACTGAATACCCAAAAAACAAATAATCCACATTAAAAATGGGCAGAAGACCTGAATAGACATTTTTCCAAAGAAGACATCCAGATGGCCAACAGACATAAAAAGATGCTCAACATCACTCATCATCAGGGAAATACAAATCAAAACTACAATGAGATACCATCTCACACCTGCCAGAATGGCTAAAATCAACAACACAAAAAACAACAGGTGTTGGTGAGGATGTGGAGAAAGGGGAACCCTCTTACACTGTTGGTGGGAATGCAATCTGGTACAACCACTCTGAAGAACAGTATAAAGGTTCCTCAAAACGTTAAAAATAGAACTATCCTATGATTCAGCAATTGCACTATTAGGTATTTACCCAAAGAATACAAAAATACTAATTCAAAGGGCTATCGCACCCCTATGTTTATGGCAGCATTATTTACAATAACCAAATTATGAAAACAGCCCAAGTGTCCACTGATTGATGAATGAAGAAAGATGTGATATTCCTCTCTCTCTCTCTCTCTCTCTCTCTCTATATATATATATATATATATATATGAGAGAGGACCATTACCCAGCCTTCTAGAATGATGTTTCTAATCTCGTTTATGGCACTCTTCATCTCTGATTCTTTTTTAACTTTTCTCTACAGTAAGAATCACACTGATGTCTTTTATTCTTTTCTCAAGCCCAGTGGGTATCCTTATGATTGTTGCTTTCAATTCTTTATATTTTATTTTTATTTTTAAAAGATTTTATTTATTTGAGACAGAGAGAGAGAGTACAAGCAGGGGGAGCAGCAAGGAGAGAGAGGGCGCAGACCCCTCGCTGAGCAGGGAGCCAGATGAGGGGCTCGATCCCAGGTAGGGATCATGACTTGAGCCAAAGGCAGACACCCAACTGACTGAGCCACCCAGGCACCCCCTGTTGCTTTTAATTCTAACAGGCATGTTACTTACATTTCATTTAGATTTATATATATATATATAGAGAGAGAGAGAGAGAGAGAGAGAGAGGAACATGACTCAGCCATAAAAAAGAATGAGATTTTGGCATCTGCAATGATGTGGATAGAACTG